ACATCAATCGGTTGCCTCCCGTACACGCTCAGACCAGGGATCCAACCCACAACCCAGGAACCCAGGTATGTGCCCTGACTGGGAATCGAACCCGCAACCTTTCGTTGTACGTGATGACGCTCCAAGAACTGAGCCACCCGGCCAGGGCAAGACGATGCCATTTTAGCAGAAGCCTGAATGAAGCAAGGGAGCACACCAAATGGGTCCCTGCAGGTGGCCTCTCAGACAGCAGGGACAGCAGATGCCGAGGTCCTGGGCAGAGAGTGAGCTTAGCGGTGATTGATGCAAGGCCTGTAGGGGACCAGTCACCTTCAGCTTCCCCTCAGCTTCCTTCTCCAGTTTTGGTAGGAAACATCGTTCTCGCACAGTGGTGCATTTGTAGGAGTTTCGGCAAAATCAGAGTCATTCTTTTATGTAGTAAATTGTCCTTGGCTAAGAATGCTGTCAGAAATGACAGTAAAATTATAACCTTTGTCCTGCCAGTTGATTGCTAATTCTGTGTAAAATCCTTTTTCTTCTTCTTCAGAAAGAAGCCCTTTTGTTTCCACAGGTTGCAGAGGTCACTAACAGCATCCTTCCCAGAAGGGGCCACAACTCAGAATTTGGGAAGCCTCCCCAAATCTCAGTTGTATTCAGGGAATATTTATTAGATATGAAAGGATTGAGATGTGGTGACTGTTTTTAGGGAACTCAAAATCCGGTTATACACATACATTCTTTTTATGCTACAAGAGGTAGAGTAATGGATCAACAGGAATTACCCTCTGTGTGGTTACTTGAACTGATGGGTTTGGGATAAATGTCACTCAAGACTGGTAGAAGTCTGCCTCTGTTTCCTCTCTAGTCCCCCAACGTGCTGAAAATAGGATAGGCCAGGGCAAGCATTAACAAAGACTAAGTTGCTCTTCAAACCCTGGGCTTTGCCCTTGTTTCTTGTTTCATTCTCAGCTGACACGTATGGTACGTCTGCTCGGTTCATAAACACCTTCACGCTTGTTATTTCAGCAGAACCTCACAGTAGGCCTGTGCAGCAGGCTGCACAGATGCCAGTATTACCAGTTTATATGTGAAAAATATTAAGGAAAGTGACTTGTGCAAGGTCACATAGCTAGAAGTCATGGGATCAGGTTCCAGTCCTAGATGTTTTGTAAATTTAACATTTATTTCAGTTATCTCAGAAGTTATTGTATAGCTATTTTTCAGATTTATAGAAGAGTTACAAAGGCAATATAGTGATTTCCCATGTGTCCTTCACCCACTTTCCGCAAATCTTAATATCTGGTACATTTGTCAAAACCAAGAAGTTAACCTTGGTGTATTCCTGTTACACTAAACTAAACATGAGTCTCCTGCTCCCCTTTGGTCTGTGACATTTCTCAGTCTTTCTGTGTTTCTTATTGTCTTGAGAGTTTTGAAGAGTCCTTTGTAGAATATCCCTTAGTTTGGCTTTGTCTGGTGTTTTTCTTGTGATTGGGCTGGGGTTTGGCGGGACACACAGTGAAGCGCCTTTCCCTTCGTTTCCAGGGTACACACTGTCCACAGGACATCCCTGGTGGTGTCAGCCCTCACCGTGCGATTAAGCTGGTGTTCGCCAGGCCTTTCCACTGGGACGTTAGGGTTTCCCTTTTCTATGCTCAGTTCTTTCAGATCGAGTTCCTAGTTCCTCGACTCGAGCTGCGGCTTCGCATCCTGGAGGGGGAGCACCTACGTGCATTAGTTGGAATTCTTCTGTAAGGGACGTTTGTCCCCGTCCCCAGTTATTTATGTAATCCTTCCTTATGTCAGGATGAACCCATGCGTGTTTATTTTATACTTTGAGTTATAATCCAAATAACTATTATTTATTTTTTCATTATTTATTTTCCCCAATGATTCCAGCTTTGGCCCTGGGAGCGTTTTCAGGCCGACGCCTCTGTCTGGCTGACGTGCATGTGCTTTCATTCTTTCGAGTATATTTTTCTGGCCCCGTGAGAGAGTCCAGGCTCATCTTGCATTTCCCTGCAGGGCCCTAGAATCGGCCCTAGAATCGGCCCCTTCTCCAAGGTGCAGCCACGGTCTCCTGACTCCAGATACGTGATTCTTTGTACAGTCCCCCATTTTGACACTAAAAGGCGAGGAACATTCTGTCTCATAAACGTGAACATGGAAGCAGTTTCCTAATTGTTGTTGTTGGTTTTATTACTCCAATATTTTAGGTACTACTACTTTTCTTTACAGGTTTGAAATTTCATTTTATTTGTATTTATTCACAAGAACAAAGTGCTTTCTCCAGGTAATTAGCCGCTGGCCAAATATGTTAGTCTGTTAGGTTCATTATAAGTAGCATTGAGGGGTGAAGTCTGGTATTGGCCAAAGAAAATACAAGGATATTCTGTATTTTCCATGAATATTAACTTTTAGCTTAGTTCATTTTCAAGAGCTTTAGAATATTGATTATTAGTAGAATGAATGATTCCTTTTATAACAATATCTTAAGTTTTGTTTGTGTAATTTTTAGGGTGTATAAAACATAGCTTTGGTTTAAGTAGTTGTGATTGGGAAACTGTTTAGCAGTTTGGGGTAGAGAAAATAGCAGCATTTTCTTTAGCGTCAAGAGACCTGTGTTTTATCCTTTATTTCTAACTGGCAGAAGGTCTTAAGGTTCTTTGACTTTATAAATCTCACTATTGTCATCTGTAAAAGAAGAGACTTGGATAAAATCTTTAAAGTCACCCCTTGCCTCCTTTTTAAAACAGTGCGTGTGCATGCATGCGTGTGTGCACACGTGTAAAATACCGTGAGAGAGCTCGTGTTACAGCCTAACAATAGCCATTTGGTCTGGTTTATACCCGAAAGGGATATCATTCAGGAAGTATTTCAGTGCTAGGAGGAAAATCTTACAGAAATAAAATCCTTATTTTTAAAAAAATTCTGGCCTTCCCACACAGAATGTACAATGTACCTTTAACAGGCTCTTCTTAGTCATAACAGTTTGGAAAGCTGCCATCCTGAAAGTCATAATTCATATTTTATTAAGCAGACATGCTTTCTCCATTCTTTGTTGTGCATACCCTCACTTTTTAAATATTTGTTTTTAACTTGAGATGAAGAGATTTTACTCATCTTCTGAAAGAGGATGTGAGATTTGTCTGTTTTAATTGCTAAATGTGTGGTTTTCCGGACGTGAAGGGGGAGGGGTCTGTATTCCTCAGAGCCTGGCTTCCTGGCAGTGATTCCTCAAGTTCGGGGTGGGGGAGGGTGAGGACAAAAGCGCGAGCGTGTGGTTGGAGAACAAAGTGATATTTTGTACAAGTGCTTTGATTTGTTTTTCCTCATGATATTTAATCCATACTGATTCTAAATAAAGTCAGAGAGACCATCTGCTTTTTCAGGTTCAGAAAGGAGTGGGGTCACGTGGTTTGTAGAGATTGAGGGACACTGGTGTGCACACTTAATTCTGGGGAGAGTTGCCCCACTTGACCCAGAACGTGAGGATCACGTGGCGAGGTCAGGAAAAAGAGAATTCAGGTGATATCCTTGAAGTCTTAGAAAAATATTGCAAATACAGTGTATTAGACTATGTGGAACACTCTAGCACTATATTACTATAGGATTATTTTTACACGTAGAATTGCTATAGTATGCTATGTTAAAAATACAGTTTTTAAAACAACTTATTGTAATTAACAGTTTAATTTTAGAACTGATTTTACCAGGTAGACATTTGTAGGCTGCTTAATTGCTGTCCCATAAAATTTGTTGAGCTTTATTTGATTCATTTTCATTAAAAAATTGTGAGACCTTTCGTTGTGATAGGTAAACTAATATTCTTCTAAGGACATTATTGGTACTCTTACCTAACCCTTCAATAAATATTTATTGAAAACTCACTTTGCTTTGCAGTTCTTGAATTAATTTAAAGTTTTGTTGTCTTCCACAAGCTTCTTTCAGAATTCTCACTACGTTAGGCGTTTTCTGTGTTTCACTTGAGTCTACTGAGAAATACTGAAAAATTAGTTTCTTTTCCTTCATGAGTACTACAGAAGTTTTAATAAACCGGTACATGTTAACGGCTGCTGTCAGGAACGGATGAATGTTTTGTAATATTCTTCAACGAAGAGCCTGAAAGGGTGGTGAGGTCACTTTCTTGAAATGCTGCGATGGTTAGAATGTTACCCACGTGGTAGCTTCAGCTGCAACTGGTCACTCAGGTGGTTTTGTTTTTGTTTAAAAAGAAAATGTAAGTCTCATTTTCCTTTCAGCAACATAGGTATATATTTTTAAAAGCACTTGTAAATGTCTGGATGTTCATGCAGGTAAAGTAATTTTTTTAATTCTGTGAGAAACATGGTTGTAAAGACATTGATGAGAGCCCTGTGCCCGTGGCTGCGGGTCACTGTCCTGTGAGCTCGATGCGGACAAGGACAGTGTCAGGTCCTTTTATCTCCCCCGCCTCACGGATATGACATTCACTCAGTGAAAGGACTGATCTCTGTGACACAGCTTAGACGGGTCTGTTTGCATGTTTTCAACATTTTATTATGAAGTTTTTAACCATACAGCAGAGTTGAAAAAATTGTGCAAAGAGCACCTATATGTCTACCACCTATTCTACCAGTAACATTTTGGTATATTTGCTTTATCATACATCTCTGCATCTATTATGCATGTCTATATGTATTCATTAATGTCTCTTATTTTTGGTACATTTCAAGGATTTTTCTGGCCTGTTATAGAGACTGACATGTATTCCAGAATCATAGTTTAAATTGGCGAAAGAGAAAGTGATGAGGAAGCTCTGTTACTGACTTTGTATGACACATATTGATAAATTATGATTTCTTGCCAATGTTCCTATGATTTTACTGTTACTTTTGCATTCAGTGTAATCTTTTGCTAGAAGTCGTTCAGTTGCTGTCACGAAGGCGTGAATACCCATTGTGCATGTTCACCGCTGTCATTGCCAGCGCCTTCAGCGTTCTTTCCCATGAGACCCCATCTTTCGCATCTTTTCTGACCAGGAGTAGCCCATCGAAGCCAGAGCAGCGAAGGAGTCAGCTCTCTCAGCAGCTCGCCCTCCAATAGCCTTGAAACACAATCCCAGTCTCTCTCGCGTTCCCAGAGCATGGACATCGATGGTGTCTCTTGTGAGAAAAGGTAAAGTAAGCCGATTTTCCAGTAAACTGTTTGATTTATGGAAAGGGAGGGGTCTGTTCACGTCAGTCTCTCGTCCGTTAGCATCAGTGCAAGGTCAGGGGCCTGTGCCCGTCCATTGCAAATTACAGCTAAATTCCTTAAATTTGAAGGTCTTCGTATTATTCTGAAGTTGTTCTTTACACCTTTTTATGCTTCTGCTGTTGAAATGCCTTTTATGAAATAATGGTGTAGGTGGTAAAAAAAGGTTTTCAGTTTTTTTAGTGTCTTTATGAATACACAGTTGGCATCATCTGCTGGTCCCTAAATATTTCTTCAAAGCTTTACTGATCAATGAAAATTTAAAATGCAGAAGCACACAGACAAGTGAGCCAGATACACTAAGAGCTCCAGAAGGACCCAGGTGTCCTAGGGTAGAGCCTTCCTGTGCTGCAGTTGCTACAAACAGGTGACAGAACAGCTGAGGCGTTGATTTCTCTATTCCCTGGGCAAGCCAGACCCCGCCCCGAGACCCATCACCTCTGCCCATGTCAGTGGGCCAGACAGATACTACTTGGAACTGAGTTCCTGTTCTTGGTGGGGTTGGGGTGAGGAGCCAGATCAGAGATCACACCCATTAGGCAAGAATTCAGGAAGGACTACACTCTCAGGGAAAAGATACAAGTAGGAAAAAATTCACCCCACAGAGTAAAAACAATTGTGTTCTTACTACCATTGCTCTGAATGCACGTATTTTTTTAAAAAATCAAGTCAACTCTGATTTCGTTGCTAAAAGCTAACTTTCATATGGACTTAGCACACTATTGGTATAGTCTGAAAAACCCCAAGCTAAGAATTGTTATAGACAGTGAACCCAGGCATCTAGCAAAAGGAAACTTAAAACATCATGTCTTCAGAAAACTTCCTCAGAAAAATTTTCAAGAAATAATGAGCTCATGGTCAAAATTCACAAAACTCAGTAGAAAAAAGCCACCATGACTAACAGTCAGTAGAATGAGTAATGGCAGACTTATTTCACCTCAAGATTTTAGAGTTTTGGAATTATCAGATACAAAATATGAAATAGGTATATTTAAATAAATTTAAAATGAAATTGAAAACATAAGGGGCAAATGACTATAAAAACAAGCAAGCACATTTGAAAAAGAACCAAATACAATTTCTACAAATGAAAAGCTAATTTACATTGAAAGGAGTTAAACAGAGAATTAGACATAGCTGAAGAGAGAATTAACAGATGACATGATAGAGCTGAAGAAATTACCCAGATTACACCACAAAGTAAAAAAGAGATGAAAAACATGAAAGACAGAGCTAGAGAAGACACAGATTGAATATATATTTCATAGAAATATCAAAAGGAGAGAATAGAGAGACTTGGAGAGATTCTTTTCCCTTCTCCTTATGAACATTTTTTCCTCTACTGGTTTGGAAGCCATTATCAAAAAGATAAATGACTGAAATATAAAATAATATTGAATGTCAACTGTATTTGATAAAAAAAGGCTGAAAATTTTTCTAGAGTTGATGAATGATACGACTCTTCAGATTCAGGAAGCCCAGCAACTCACAAATAGATTAAACAAAAATAAATTCATATCTAGGCATCGATTAGTAAAATTGCAAAATACAAAACAAAGACCTTTAAAGCAGTCAGAGAGGAAAGAGGTTACCTGCAAGAGAACAGCAGTTAGATGTCTCAGGGATGGAAGCCAGAGGAGGGTGGGGTAGTAGCATTAAATGCTGGAGGAAACTGTTAGCTGGGAATTGTGTACCCGGATGGAACTAGCTTTTAAGAGCAAGGGTGAAATAAAGGCATTTAAAGATTAAAAAACAACCAGCCAAACAAACAAACACAACATCATAGCCTGCCACTAAAAGACCCCCAACTTTTAACAGATATTGTTGAGAAGGAAAATTATCTTGGGACTAATGTCTGAGATGCAAGAAGAAAGGATGAGTGAAACGAATAATAAACGTGGTAAAATCTAAACAGACATTGATGGTATAGAGCAATAATAACAGTGTAGAAAATAATATGGGGGTGGTTATAAAAATCAGATCAATCTAGCACACTGGACAGCCATGGCAGGTAAGCCAGAAGCCAGGGTCACCAAGCAAGCTCTGAGGTCCTTGAATGCTTGAGAAAGGGGTGAAGATACTGGCCAGTTTTTATATTTTGAGTCAAGAATTCTTGATGAAATTTCAAGGGGAGCCACTAAAGGAATGGAAATAGAGAAACCAGTAAAAGGAAAATACAGAACTGGGGTGAGGGGCAGGAGAGTGGAGGTATGTCAGTTTAAAGAAAGGGAAGGCAGAAACAAATTTTTAAGAAAGATAAATAGCACAAAATAAGATGTTAGAAAGAAATGAAAATATGTCAGTAATTAGAGTAAATCATAGTGAAAAGGTATAGGTTGGATTGAAAACAAAACAGAGCTCAGTTTTATCCTTGTTTTTAGAAGGAATACCTGAAATATTAGGTCAGGGAAAGGTTAAAAGTAAAAGAAAGGGAAAAGATAGACCAGACAAATCCTAAAGAAAAAGAAAATTGGGGGTAAGCGTATTAATGGATTAGACTTTAAGGCACAAAATAGTATTAGAAATAAGTGCTATATAACAATAAATGTTTAGTTTATCTGTAGGATATAACAGTTTCCAAAATATATGTACTTAGTAATATAACAGCAACATGTAATAAAGCAAGTATTGACAACTAGAAGAAACTGACACAGTCATAACAAAGATTTTTAACATGTCTCTTCCATTTATCAGATCAAAGAGAATAAATATCAGTGAGCATATGGACACATTAAATAATACAGCTAGCAGCATGATCTAGGTGAAAGATACAGAACTTGGCACTCTACAGTTGGAGAATTCATGCTTTTTTTTCCTCATATTACTCATCGACCAAAAATTTCAAGAGACAGAATCATACAGGTCATGTTTACTCACTAGTACATTAGGTTTGATAATTAATACAAGGGAAAAAAAAACTTAAAAAACTCTGAGACATTTAGAAATTTTAGAAACAAAGCATGCTTCTACATACAGCTCAAAGAAAAAATGGTAATGAAAGTTTGAAAATAACGTAGAACTGAACAGTAACAAATATTAATCATTATGATCTGCATGTGGCAACTGACGTGGTCTTCAGAAGAAAATATAAAACTATAATATACTAAAAAGCAAAAATGAATGCAGATAGATACTGGGAATGAAAACCCTTTTGCTGGAATGCTCTTCCCCCGGATATGTACAGGTGCTTGTGCCCATCTGGCATCCCTCAGCGGGGCTCGCCCCGTGTCAGGTGGAGAAAGCCCTGAACTTTTTCTTTAATTTTTCCATAGCACTTACTATATTATATGCTTTGCCTATTTATTATATTTATTGTTTATTATCTTTCCTATCTCTACCTAGAATGTAAGCTCCATGACATTGGTTTGGGGTTTTTTTTTGTCTTTTTTGTTCACTGACATCTCAGCCAGCCAGCACAAGACCTGTGTAGAATGGGCAGTCAGTAATGTTGGTCATTGAAAGGGAGAGGTCCATGAAAAATATAAATATGCAAATGCAAATAAATTTGAAAAGTTGAATGAAAATCAAATTCCTAGAAAAGCATAACTCGCCCAAAATTGACTCAAGAAGAGAGAACCTGAAAAATCGAAAACCATGAAATAAATTGAATTAGTATTTTAAAATTTTCCAATGAAACCAACTTTCTCATATGATTTTACAGGTAATTCCACGGTTCCAGTTTTACACAAAATTTTCCAGATAATTTTTTAAAAATAGGGAATACATACCAACTCAGTTTATGAGGTCAATATGAAATACAACCTTCATATCAAAACCAGGCAAGAGTAATGGGTCAGGGTGTCCAACCTTTTGGCGTCTGAGTGCCACCCTGGAAGAAGAATTGTCTTGGGCCACACATTAAAGACATTGCAACACGGAATCACAAAAATATCTCATAATCCTTTAAGTAAATTTACGATTTTGTGTTGGGCTGCATTCACAGCCGTCCTGGGCTGCATGCAGCCTGCGGGCTGCAGGTTGGGCACCACTGATAGATGAAGAAAATTAGTTATGTTGTCATCACACTCATGAACATATTTGCAAAAATCTTAAGATACTGACAGATCGAATCCTGCAACACATTGAAAAAACAGACAAAACACCTATAGGGCTAGATATCAGGACAGTGGTTACTGTGGGCTAGCACACTAGTAATTGGAAGGGTCATAAGAGGGGCTTTTGGGGTCTGATAATGTATTTCTTGATCTGGGTGCGAATTACATGAATATGTTTCCTTTGTGAAACTATTCTGCAAATACATGGTCATCTGTGCACATTTTTGTACTTTGATTAAAAGTTTAGTTAAAAATAATGTGATACATGATATAATATGATCAACCACTTTATCTAAGGAATTCTTTAACATTAGAAAATCTATAAATATTATTCACCATATCATAAAAGAGAAAAGCCATATAATCTTGATGGTTGCAAATTTTGCTAAAATTTCAATATCAGTTAATGATAAAAAATCTTAACAAATGGAACCAAAATGTGCAACCTTAAACTGACAGTACAGCAGAGACAGGGTTAACCAAAGATCCTGTATGCGCCCCTGCATTTCCAGTTTCCTTTGCAGTTAGGTTGGGGTCAAGGTGACTAGGTCTGCCCCGTAGACTGTTGAGTGGAAGTGGCATGCGTCACTTTGAGGCAAAGGCAGTTGAGCCGATGTTCCTCCTCCGTCCCTCTCTTCTCTTGCTCCAGTGACCTGGGAGGCTGTGTATTGCAGATGGCATAGATTAAAGATGGAGTAAGGATGCTTCACTCTCATCAGACTTTGCGTAAGCAAGAAATAAATCCTTATAGTGTTAAGCCTCTAAGATTTCAGAGTGTGTGTGTTACCACAGCATAGCCTGTCTTATTCTGACTAATATAAGGGACATCTGCCAAAAACTACAGCAACTCTCATATTCAGTGGTGAGAAATTTGCACTTCCTTTAGAATCAGGAGTAAGAACAAGGATGGCTGCTATTTCTGCCGCTGTTCCCTACCCCATGCGGTAAACAAGTAAGGAGTCGAGGGGGAGAAACAAAACACGTACTATTCAGCGATAAAATGATTACCTACCTAGTGTGCCCTTCTAAAAATAAACAAGTTGCTTAAAATAGGTCTATTTCTAAAAGTCAGTTAAATTACCATGAACTAACAACAAAAAATTTAGAACACTTAATTTTAAAAAGGTACCATTCACAATCTCATTTAAAAATTTATGGTACATAAGTATAAATTTAGCCAGAGAAGTGAAAGACTTATGGAGAAAATAATGAAGTTTATCCAAAAACGTTACAGAAAGCTGAGTCTTGGGGAGAGGCATGCTGGGCGGGCTCGGCGACATGTGACGCCACTTCTCTCCACTCTGACCTCTAGAGTCTGTGACACTCTAGTTGAAATCCCAGTAGAATTTTTAAGGGACCTGGCGAGCTGATTCTTCCTCATATGTGCAAAAGCAGAGGGCCAGGCATGGCCAAGGCTGTCCTGAGGAAGGAGACCCAGGTGGAGGCGTGACCTGTCAGGTGTCAGGATCTAGTGTGATGTTTAGTAAGACAGAGTGCCACTGGCTCGGGGGCAGAGACTGTCTCATGGAACAGAATGAGGGTCTAGAAATAGACTCACACGTAGATGAAGATTGGACATAAGGATATTAATGTGAAAATGATGGTCTTGTCCATAGGTGGTGCTGGGACAATTATTTATTCAATGTGGGGAATACAGTATGTGCTCAACAAGATTTCGTATTCAGGCTCTGAATGATTGTGTATCATTTAACATTGTATAGAAAATATGCTCCAATTATTTTTTGAAAGTGAGGCTAAGAAAATGACAACTTGGGAAAAATACTAAGATTATAACAAAATGTTTATATCTTAATACATGAAGAGCTTTTAAGATTAATAGAAAAAATGATGAACCTTTATAATTTTGCTTTCCTGACTGAGTTTGATTGGTATGTTAAAACTTCGTCAACCAGCAGTTAGGACATTGGGTGGATCTATAAAAGGTAAAAAGACTTATTTGTCTTTTATACTTAAAGCATGTCCCAGGTGGATGTGGATTCAGGAATTGAAAATATGGAAGTTGATGAAAATGATCGGAGAGAAAAAAGGAGCCTCAGCGATAAGGTTGGTAAGAGAGGAGCCCTTACGTCCGTTTTTAGTGCAGCTGCCACAGATGGCACGCTTCGCGCCCTGCAGCTGTGGCGCCTGTGAGAGCGGGCCACCCCCGCCGGCAGGTCCCTTTAGCTGAGCGGTTTTTTTTGTTTTGTTTTTTTGAGGAAAAGTAGCCTCACTTGCCCTTCTTAATGGAAGCATGACTCGGTCCATGTTTTTGTCAGTATATGTGGTTTGTAACAGGAATGCCTTTAGAGGTAACTTGGATGTTTTTCTGCTGGTGTTTGGGTTGAGCAAGAAGGCCATCATCCGTGCCCTTCTGGGGAAAATGCTGGGGCTGGAAGCAAGAATACAGTATGGGGGGTCCAGCAGCTAGTCGGGGCTTTCTGAAAACATGAGGTCTTCATATACTGTTGTCACTGAGCTCAGTTCCTATATTTGGGAAAAGGATGTTTTGGGTTTGGGGTTTTGTGGGAGGACGGTTAGGTTGTCTTCGGTGCGGTGTAGAACAGGTATCGGTAACTGCATCAGTTTCTGTTCAATAAGTTGTTATTCGTGTTCCACAACACATATTGATGATTGTTAGAAGTTGGACTGTAAGTAGTGTGATGCTTAATGTTGTATCGTTCTTTAGTGTTGTAAAAAGTTGTAACTTTGAAGGCTAGTAACAAGTTTATTTATCCCTAAATCAATGGGTGATAGTTCTGTGCAATTCTGAAATGAATTAAATCAGAATTAAGTATTTCTGTTGAAGTCTAACTCATGCCTCCTACCCCTTGGAATTAACCCCCACATCTTCTTCCTTACAAGGAGCCTCCATCAGGTTCTGAAGTGTCTGAAGAACAGGCCTTACAGCTGGTCTGTAAGATCTTCCGTGTCTCCTGGAAGGACCGGGACAGAGACGTCATCTTTCTTTCCTCCCTTTCTGCACAATTTAAGCAGAACCCAAAAGAAGGTAGGAACCTAGCTCAGCAGCCCTCTTCCCAAGCACTGTCCTCAAGGGAAGCAGGAATGTAAGACCTGTTGTCCTTCCCTGCCACCCACAGTCACTCTCTTCTGCTCTGGGGATGTGTTTTTTATTACAGGGACACTTCTTGACGAGGACACTGATGTATGGCCACTTCCTACTTGTCCTATTGATAAGTTCATTTTTTACTTTTAAGATTCTCTAAAAGAAAACTGTATAAATAAGTTAATGGTGTCCACTGTCTCACGGTTGAAGTTTTTTCCTTGTGATAGGAAGATACTCTGAGCATTAGCGCCCCTTATAGAGCAGGAGCATGCGGAGGTAGTCTCCAGGGACCCTGCAAGAGGGCTCTGTGACCTGTGCCTGCCGGGCCCAGCGTATACCTCAGCTTCATTCGATTGCTCAGCAAGATGGGACATACTGAGCTTTTGCCGTGTTTCCAGGATTCCATTTTAAGAAGCTACACTAAAACCACACCTATGACAAAGTAGTCAAGCTCTTAGTGCACCCGCATGACAGGGCACTGTCCCTTCTCTTCAGAGCCGGCATCTGGAACACAGAAGGGGCCGGGAGGTGTGCCGGGGTGTCCACCTGCGTGTCACTGCAGTATAACCTCCCCGCTGGCAGCACTTTCAGTCTGGCTGCTCGCGGACGCAGTCCCAGGGCCTAGGGGGCGCCTGGCACTTAATAATCCCTCGTTAGATGTATTTTAAGTGAGTGAAAGCATATCTGGGAGATCGGCTTCCCCTTTCCTGCGCTACCTGTCCTCCCGATGAACAGAAGGTTGGGCCTCCTGCTGGATGGATGGTTCACTTCTGATCTTCCTGGGATCTTCTTCACTCTGGTTGCAGAGATGAGCTTAGCAGTCAGGTGTTTGAAAACTCTGCCATTTGTTGTTCTTGCTATAAATCTTAAGATTCTCAAGTGTCTCTTGTGCATATATAAGTGGTAATTTTTAATAACCAAATCAGGTAAGATTTCCATGGGTTTGAACATTTATTTATATATTTAACTTTATAAAGTGTATTTAAAGAACTGCAATGAAGCAGTTAGGAGCTGCTGAGAGTAAGAAGGAAGCTGGGAAGTGAGATCTGCTCCAGAAAGCCAGATGGCGACTAGAAATTAGACCCTTCCTATAATACTTTGAACTTTGTACTTGACAGTTTTACTGTATATAAAACATACATAAGAGAAGAAATATTAACCCATTTGCATTTCTAGTGTGATAAACTAACCTCTGTTGTTGGGGGTAACTTTTTTTACAGTTAATATATATCAGCAGTGACTCATTGGCTGCACTTCAGGGTTTTTTTTAAATAAGTTTTGTATTGTGGAATAATTCTAGATTTCCAGAAAAGTTGTAGAGATAGTACAGGGAGCTCCTGTATGCACTTCACTGTTTCCTCTAATGTTAGCTTCTTACATAACCCCAGTAGACCCGAAAACTAAGATGGTATTAATTCACTACGCTCCAGACCTTATTTGGATGTCTCCAGGTTTCCCACTAATGTCCCTTCGCTGTCCCGGGGCCCCCTCAGAGCCGGGGCACCTCACGGGGCCACTCTGGTTCTGCCTGGCTCACGCAAGGACTGTGCGTATGAAGAACCATGTGTAACCTCTTTTTTATTCTGCCTTTCCAACAGTGTTCTCTGATTTTAAGGACTTGATTGGCCAGATTTTAATGGAAGTGCTCATGATGTCCACTCAGACTAGAGATGAAAACCCCTTTGCCAGCCTGACAGCCACGTCACAGCCGATTGCAGCGGCAGCTCGGTCACCAGACAGAAATCTCACGCTGAATGCTGGCTCCAATCCAGGAACAAGTCCCATGTTCTGCAGTGTGGGTTCCTTCGGTGCCAGCTCTTTGTCTAGGTCAGTGTGTTCTTTTTGCACATCTAATGGGCAGTGACATAGCCACGAGTGTGTAAGAGCAGTGCACGTTCTTTCGTGGGCCCGTGTCATGCAGGTTGTAACGCGTGTCATATTTGGGGGGATGGGCTTGATCATTGCAGGAGATACTGTCTTTTCCAGACTGGTCTCTCTGGCTCTCCGTGGTTTGGCTATGGGTGAATTAAGGTTTAGAAACAAATGGCTGTATGTTGTACATTATTCTTTGGCAAGAGGGCTTTAAAATATCGTAAGCAAAACCTCTAGTTCTTTACAGCAATGAGATTACAGTTATTCTGGTGTCTGGAAGTTGTGTATACTGGAATGCCTAGAGATACGAAGTGTGAATATGCTATTCTTTAAAAGCTTGCTGTTTTCCATTCTGGCTATTTATCTCAAGTTTTTCTTCAATTTTCTCTTCTTTCCTCCCTTTCTCAACTAATGTAGCCTCTATGAAACTAGTCCAGCTCCCCACACGAGTCTCTGGAGCTCGGAGCCGAGGACGAGCCCGCCTCTCGCCTCCCCCTCCGGCGCAGCCAGCCGCGCGGCTGCGCCGGCCCTTTCCCTGAGCGCCCACGGCGCCGCCGCCTCCGGGACCGCGGCGGGAAGCCAGCCCTCGTCTCCGCGGTATCGCCCCTACACTGTCGCCCACCCCGGGGGGGCTGCGGCTGCCCCTCCCCCGAGGCCCTCAGGCTGCTCCGCCCTGTGTAGCTCACCGCGTCTCCCCACCCTCGCTAGTAGCCCTCAAGCGGTGCCGGCCAGCTCCTCCCGACCGAGAGCCACCAGCACGGGGCCGCCTTTACTGTCCGCCTCGCCCAGTGCCGGGAGCAGACGTCCCTCCTCCCTGAGGACCTCCCCTAGGTACTTGCGCAGCAGCAGAGCCGGGCGCGTGCTGGCGGGGCAGGGGCAGCAGGTTCCGGCCTCCGCCCCGGGGCCCCGGGGTCCGCGGGAGGCCAGCCCCCTGCGGCCCGGCTTTGGCGGCCTCGGGGGCCCTGCTGCGGGCGCCTGTCTTCCCTGCCTTCCCTCACTTCTCCGTTGCGAACGAGAAACGGAGGAAGACGTAGTAACTTAGTTTTTAAAATCTCCATGTGGCGTTCCTCATTACAGACAGATTTCGGACCCTGTTGGCATTTTGTAAGTGAGAGTCGGGGACCACAGAACCACTTTTCGACTTTTTATATACTGCTGTCCGTGGTAGTTGAAACCCGAGTCAGACCGAGGGGCCGAGGGAGCAGCGCCGGCCCGCGTGCCTCCCCGCCCCGCTCGGCCGGGCCTCCCGCCGCCGCGGCCGCTCGGAGAGAGGCCGGCCCAGAATCCCGGCAGTCGGGCCCCGCGTGCCCACGCAGGCCCGTAACTGAGGGGAATCACTTTTCTGCATGGCAGTTGATAAAACTTTCAGCGTAAGGTTGAATTAAAGGGACAGCAGTTGCAAAAGCTTTCTCCCTCTTGTTTTTTCCTCTGTTCCCTGATGACTTTTTTTTGCTTTTGTTGTGGTAGTATGTACGACAGTCCTTTCTCCTTCCTCTTCCTCGCACTTTCTGGGGACAGTAGTGATGAAGATGAAGAAGAAGATGATGATGGTGATGATGAAGGTGGTGGTGGTGGTGATGAGTTTTCTGGTGTCCAGTTTGGGTCCAGGTATCAGGAATGGAGTCTCACCCCTGCATGTGCATAGGAACTAACTTTTATAGGCCCTGATTAGGGGTGTGCTTGGAATCCACGCAGGTCAGGGTCGGACGAGACCCCCTGGAGAGTGAAGATGGGAGAGACTTGCATGTACTTGAAATGTTAGGACCCTCTTGTGGGATAAAGTACACACAGGGGACTTTCCATAGCAGTTGTTACCTGGTGAGTCTGGAGAAAACATACATTCATTTGTCAAAACCATGAACAACACACTAAAGGTCAGTCGTCGCTACGTGCGTCCACCCTGAGATCTACAATGAAGAACCCTTCACTTTATCTGTTGCGAGAATGTTCTTGTGAGCTACTGGATGTGAGCAACATAGGCTCTGCGAGGCTTGTTTTCTTACGTGCAGGTGCATGGATTACTGCTACTTAGGAACGGCAGAGGGGCTGCTGCGCGTGTGCCCATCGAGGAGCATGCGCGGTCATGCTTCCGGTGTAATAGCGATTCTGCTTTTACTTGCAACCTTGAATTTCATTGATTACCCCCTTTGACCTCAGTGAAGTTACAACAGGCTAAAACCCTATTTTAGCTGGCCTTTGGAATGGCAGCAGAGGCTAAAGTATAGTTCACAGTGTTGCTGAATGTTCACCCCTGAAAACAAGTGCAAAAGGCTACTTAGGTTTTCTAGGTGACTTTGGGAAAGAAAATTTAATAGCACTGTCTTTCTAACACTGACTTACTGTCTTACAGTTTTGCTCTTAAATTGAAGTTTTCCTCTGGTCTGAGTTGGTATTTGTGCCCAGCACTGTTCAAAAATAACTCCAGGCTATAAATAGAGAAGGCAGTAAGAGTTAGGTACACTTCATTAAATCTGACAGTGTGCAGAAGAATTGTTGGAGAGTAAGTATATAAAGAGAGGAGGGTATGTCGGTGCAAGGTTGAATATTGACTCAGGAAGGTTGATATTTGCATTAGGTTGAACATTATATTGCTCTTTCTCAAGCAGATTTCCCAGAGGTAAAAGTGCCGTTTTCATGTAGATAGAAATCCTGTTGCATGATTAGTTACGCAATAGGCATCCTTGTTAGGAATCAATTTCCATGCATGTTCAAAGTGCTTTGTTATTTGTTTTACTGTAAATTATCGGTGGGAGAAACGCTGTCTCTCCCTGGCCTATTTAATTCCAACTTTCTCTAACACAGATATCAGGTTGTGTGCTGCTGTTACTAACTCCTGTCTTTCTGGACTTAACCACACCCTGGCCTGGTCTCAGATCTAGACTCTGTATCCACACGGAGAGGAAGAGCTCAGTGGTTGTGTAAGAATGGCCCCGCGTGCTTACTGAGCGTCACGTGCCAGTGACACTGCATACATTCTCACCTCCATCCGCCCACAGAGCTGGGCTACCGGTGGGCCAGTCACGCGACCAGCCCCTGCAGAGCCCTGATCCAGAGCCCACGTGCTACCTCTGGCGTATCTGCCTTTGCCCAATAGGACAACTTGTACTGTTCTCGTTTCTTACTGGTTCTGCTGCTGCCAAGAGCATCTACTCTATTCCTGGGCAAGAACATTTTACTCCTTAGTTACAGAATTCCATTCCAGTCAGCTGGCAGGTCTTTCGCTGGCTGTTAAAATGAATTCTGATCTATCCAGATTTTGGCAATTATAGATTCTGAGTAGATATCAGAAAGAATATGAAATGATAGGTAAAAATACATAACGGGAGAAACAAGCGAAGAGGAACCCGGGAACGCGTGCCAGGCCCAGGCTGGGGAGAGGCAGCGGGGCCCTGTGCAGTCGCGCGCTCAGCAGGCGTTCTTTTCTCTCCCCCTTTCTCATTGATCATCTCAGAATTTTATTTACTTTGAAGAAAATGATTTGAACACCCACTTCTTGCCTATACGATTAATGTGGATGAAGGACTCAGCGGGGCTTGTATCTGTCCCCCTCTAAGTGCTCTGTGGAGTTGATGTGTTGCACATCTTTTTGGAAGTGGCCTGGGCAAATGTTCCTTTGTTAATTATTGATAGTGGTGACGATAGGGATTAATTTAAGAAGGTAAAAACATTCCCCTGTGAAAAGAGCTGTGTGAATTATGAGGAACTACTTCATCCGGGAGTGGAAACCGGCAAAGTTAGAGAATTGTCTTGTGATCAAGACACCACAGGATTTACTCTGCGGAAAATTTTTTTGATTGTTTCATAGGAAGTTGATGACCCAAAAGAAATTTGGACTTCTGGGGTATTTTTACTGCTTAGATGTTTCAGTGAAGGAGGTCAAACCTGGAAAGTCAGGAGCATGTGCGTGAACAGTAAGAGAACCACAAGCAGACAGTGGAAGGTGAACGTTCATGCTGATTTCTGCTGGTGGTCACTGCTCGGAGAGGAGCCGTGGACAGGATCAGAAGGCAGTCCTTCCGCTGTGTCAGTCCCCAAACCTCCCAGTGACTCCCCTCCTCACACAGAGTGAAACGCACAGCCTGTCCCCCGGCCTGCAAGACTGTGCGTGTCATGTATGTACACATGCACACACGGGTGCACACTCACACTCCTCCTTTCTAACCCCGCCTGCCCCCACTGGCCTGTGCCCTCCAAGCGCATATACTCGATCCTGTCCCTGAACTCACCTAGCAGAGCCTTCCTGCCTTGGCCCAAGGGCCCTCAGCCCGACTCCCTCAGTCTGTGTACGTGCGTCTTACCAGAGTGCCCCTCACCCTATTCTATTGAACATTGTAACACACACACACACACACACACACACACACACACACACACACCACACCCCCCCGCCCTGCCCCCCCATTCTGTCCCATATCCTCCGCTTCCATTTTTCCCCAGAGCCCTACTGTTTTGCGCACCCCCCTCTAGAACTAAGCGCATCTCTTTGATTGAGCAGGTTACCCCAGGCCCCATGGCAGCGCCTGGAAGCAGCAGGCCCAGCACGAACCTTTGTTCCCTGCACATCGCTTCACACTGCATGGCTCTGATCATAGTGTGCGCTGGGAAGGTATAAAACTCCAGAACCTGCGTGCAAAAAAGAAGGAAGTGGGGTGGCTGTTCCCCTTACAGAAGAAAAGAAACTGCAATGGAACCTTTTTGAGAAACAAGTTTTTGTAATGGGATTCAGTTTGCACAGGTCTGTCTGATGCACATATAAGTCCCAGGAATATTTTCATTGTGTTTTCAGAAAGATTCAGCTATTATGTGATTTCATTACGTGAGGTAATTACGTTGTTAACTTGGGCTGATGTCGTTACCAGAAAATGGTACGCTTGTCCTCCCAGAGGAAGTATGTTTTTTTTGTACTCTTAGGACTTACATATGATGTATTTCCAGTGTCATATTTCATATGTCAGCTGTTGTAAAACCATCATGAATTATAACAACTTTTTTAGGGGGGGAAAAACTATTTTAAAACATTTAAAAGATTTATTGATAGCATAAATTTATATAAACTGCATACCATTTTCTCCTGCAGCATCACATTTACAATTTGAGTCCAGCACTTTCACTTTGAATCTACAGACCCTTGTAAAGACCTTGGACCACTGCCTCACGTGCACAGCATTGGCTAGACGAGCCGGTTTTCAGACTTGTGATCATGGCTTAGCACCTTTAGGACCGACCTTCTAATTTTGCAGTATGTTGACGAATACTGGGGTTTACTCTGTGTTTCCTATTTGGATAAACTTTTTGCCTGGTTTTTTTTTTTTTTTTTTCCCTTTCTTCTCCCTTGAAATCGCCTGGGAGTGTTGCTCGGTGCCCGAGAGGTGATCACCAGCGTGCGCCATCCTCTTGGCTTTGAAACTCTCGTGTGTCCCAAGTGTTCACACGAGACGCTTCCCGGCCCCCAACAGGCAGTCTTCTGCGTGCACTGTCACTGCAGGTCTCGTGAAAGTATCTGCGAAGATATGTCAGCTGACTTTGAGGTGTTCAAATTTAAGTTAAAATGCAGTGGGGTGTGTCGGCTCAGAACGGAACCTAGTGTCAGTGCCCAAGCGGCCACCATCTAAACATGCTGATGTCACACATACGGTCACACGCTGGCTGTGGGCACTGCATCAGGCAGACTCCAATGTCCACTCTAAGGTTGGACTTTAAAAATGTGAGAAATAGGGGGCTTGTCATCAAGGAAATGTATAGTTTTAAATTTCTGTCTTAAACTTGCGGAAGATCTATTTTCACTGTCATTTGCAGGAGCTGCCCAAAGGAAAGTTAACCTTAACAGTGTGCAGGCGGAAGCCTGGGTTAGCGGAGCCCGTCTTTGGAAGGGCAGTGGCAGAGGCACTGAGTTGCCGAGGGGGATGGCAGGTAGCAGGAAACCACGATTGCTGCAGGGAAACACAAGTGTCTCTTCTTCCCCTTTCTGCTTTGGGGGGCACCCCACACTTGTACCTGTGGGTGAGGTTTTCTCTTCTGTTCTTACAGGGGTGGTTTCTCAGTGCTTTATCACAACACTCCTCTTTGTGTGGTCAGACCAATTAACAGGTATCAGATCCTGCCATTAATGAAAGAAGCGTGCCCCCAAATGAACTAATCAGAAGACAAGAATTCATTGTGTCCGGTTTGAAGGGTTCCCGCGCTGGCCTGCCCCCCCTTTGTCATGGCTCTGTGGGGGCACTTTGTGGGTGGCCCGTCAGGAGGGTGTTGGCTGCCTGTGCCTTTGTCTCCCTTTGAGCCTTGATGCCCCCTCCCGTCTCTCCCAGACCTGAATAGAAAGACCTGTATGGTACATTCTACAGTAGAGACGACCTGTATTATAGGAATTCAAATTTACTGGACTCTGGCCTAAAAGACTTAGATTTGAAACTGGCAATTTTTTTACCTTTTTCATTGAAATCCCTCAATATCACACTTTCATTCTAAGGTCAATTATGTATATTTTCCTAAAATTCCAAGGTTGGTTATGTGTCTATTCCAAAATTAGTTATGTATATCTACCCATCCGGGTACATAACAAATTGTTCTTAATGTCTCAGTTCCTCTTGGCTTTTTAGTTTCTAGCCTTCATTTGCCCTGTGTTGAAGTAGGAACAGGCCTCTCAGTTTCCTGCTAGTCTTCCCGTTCTTTAGTATCTTTCCTATGTCATCTTTTTTGCTAAGCTTACGTTTTCTCATTTTTATCTTCATTTCAAAATTCTTAGTCTCTTCCTATGCCACGATTAATCTCTCTGTATCTTTTGCACATATCAAATCAATTGGTGAGTTAACATCAGATTTGGTACCTGACCTACTTACTGATGGTTGGGTGGTCTATGCTTTATTTAATTCCCTCACACCTAACCCTTGCTATAATGTTTGGCTTTGGCCTCAGAACAGTTGTTACTGATAACAACAACGCCTCCTGCTGTTTCCTGCTTGTATTCTATGAAGCCCCTTCACACGACTCCATTTAACCCTCGCTGCTTCGGAGATGAGGTTTGGGGTTCAGGTAACAAGTCAGGGGTAGGGCTGGGGAGAGAACCCACATTTGGATACTCCTTGTACAAGGGTTTGGTTTGATGTTTACTGTACTACTTTGCCCTTTTCACTGAAAGCTTTGGAAAATTTGTGTTGATAATAAATATTTTACCGTCTCCTTTTAACCGGACAGTTTTCCTAAGCTCTGGTCCTATTGCCTGATGCTGGATAAAGGCTTTTGAGATCTATGCTGGAAATGATGAAGAGGAGGGGTATTTTGTTAGTCCCTTACAACTACACTCCTAAGGAGTCCAATGACGGTGATAGCATGGCCTCGCTCTAACCTCCAAGGGTGCCTGAGTGATGCTGGCCACTTGGTTTAAGTGCGTGTGACATCTCTTTAAATGCCTGGCTGCTCTTAGTCCTCCTGGTTTAGCAAGTTGCCATTCCCAACAAGATAAGATGCTGGGTTTCTTGTCAGACCGTCTTCTTAGTCAAAACAAAGCATTTACTAAAACCCCCGGTCGCTGGACTCGGAGCTGGCAAGGCAGAGGCCGGCCCGGCCTGGCTGCATGGGCGCCTGTGCTTGGGCCCGGGCACGGGGCCCTGACAGCTTTCTGCGGCGCATTGCGAGTGCTGTCTGGGACAGGTCATGGAGAAGAGCAAAGGATCAGCAGTTTTCCCTTTTCTTCTCCGTAGTTTGGGAGCCTGTGGTGGGGCAAGTACTTGGGATTCCTACAGCGACCATTTCGCCATCGAGCCCTGCAAGGAGACAGACATGCTGAACTACCTCATCGAGTGTTTTGACCGAGTTGGAATAGAGGAAAAAAAAGCACCAAAGGTAATAAATAGATTGACTTAAAAGAACCCACAAAAACCTGGTTATTTGTTTGATAAATTGTCCTCCCGCCCCCAGCATTCATTCATTTATTCAGCCAATCACGTGGTTACTGAGCATGTCCTGTATGCCAGGCACTGTGCTAAGATCTCAGGGTTTGAGCAAAACAGACGAAGGTCCCTGCCCCCAGGGAGCTCCCATCCTAGTGGAGGGAAGAAGTGACAGGGCCAGCGCCATAACTGCCAGCCACTCACGTGCCTCTGGTGATTCCTGACAGCCAGTCCTCACCACTGTGGTGACGAACAGCATCCGTGTAGGGCCTGTGGGCCGACAGGCGTGTGCTGGGCCCGCATGAGTTGAGTCGGCCCAGTGTATTCCAGCAGAAGGCAGGCATTGTTTTTAACGTTGTATGAATAAACAGATGAAGCTCAGAGATTTAGTAGTTGTCCAGAGTCACACACATAATAAGTTGCAAAATTGCATTTAAACTAAGGAAGCTACACTTTTTCTGCTATTTTGTGCTGACTTCACTTTCTAGTTCTAGTTTTCCATTAGAAATTAATTTGGTTGTCCACATGTTCCATACCTGTGAAGGGCCTCCTTGAGTTTGTTGCATTGAACCTTACTTAGCAAAGGCAGAGAGAGAATGGGCACATGTCTGAGATCCCTGAGTGGCGCCTCAAGTCTGCACGTCTTTCTTCTCTAACTGAAGGTTTCAGCAGAGCCAGCACACTCAGGTGATACGGTTTCTCTTGTTTGTTTGTTAGGAATAAAGGAAGAGCAGAGCATGCCGTTTTCTGGAGTTCAGTCTCCTCTGACTCTTGCCAATGTTCAACAGTATGGGATTATGTTGTTTGTCTTTGTAGCCCTCACCCCTACTTTTCCTTTCAGATGTGCAGCCAGCCAGCAGTCAGCCAGCTTCTGAGCAACATCCGCTCCCAGTGCATATCCCATACTGCATTAGTACTACAAGGTTCTCTCACACAACCAAGGTAGGAAAAACAGGCGTGTGCTGGATGGTAGCTTGATGTTAGCCTGCCCCTCACCGACCGCGTTGCCCCACCTTGACTACGTTACTGCCTCACCTGTAACGAGAAAGCGGTTGACTAGATGATCTCCGCGGTCCCTTCTCAAAGTGCCGTGAAAAGAAAACCCTCTCTGTGTGCCTCACTGAGCTAGACCGTTGTTGGAACATGTTGACATCCAGGCAGGAAATCACTAATTTAGTTTAAAAGCAGCTGCTTTAAATCAGTGGAGGTTTTCGATGAAATGTGACGATCATCCCTTCCCACGGATCACACGATCAGTTTTGGTTACTGAGTAACAGAGAATCCTGGTGGAATACGTAATTTGGGAATCATCTCTCATTTTTTTAGAAAGGGGTTATTAATGAGAAGAAGGGCGACCTTTTGCCTAAAACTAGTGTGTAGAATATTTGGGGGCTTTTGAGTTTGACTTTTGCCCGGGCGGCCGCTGCCGACGGGGCATTCCCTGTGTTCTCCGGTGTGGTCGTGAGTCGGTTCATCGCAGTTCTTGACTCTCACGGGCCCGCAGGTCCATGCAGCAGCCGTCCTTCCTGGTGCCGTACATGCTCTGCAGGAACCTCCCGTATGGCTTCATTCAGGAGCTGGTGAGGACTACTCACCAGGACGAAGAAGTGTTCAAGCAGGTAAGGTTTTGTGAATTTGCCGCCGAAACTTTCCACTTAGGAGCTTCTACAATGAGGCTGATTTTTAAATGCACCATGTATTGGAAACCTCTGACCCTGAATTGTACTGTGCATGTATTATCTCCTCGGAGGGAAGGCCTGTCGGAGAGTCCTTTTTTAGGGGAATCAGATTGACAGCTGCGCTGTTCAGACCACGGGCCCCTTCAGCCCATCAGCGAGGCACTGAGTATTTTACCTAGGATTCGCACCGGGCGCTTCGGGAGATAAGAAGAAATATTTTAAGGCCCCGCTCCTGATTTTAAGGAGCTTTTACCCCAGGAATACCAAGAGATAGCGTAAGGCATGCTGTGCATTTGCTAGACGAGTCGTGTTGAAAATGAGTCTCTGAGTTTACAAAGAAGAGATGAATAAATTGTTGACCGGATGAGCTCGGAGGCAGTGTGCACGCCACATGGCGTCTGTGTTCTGACCGGCAAAGCGGGAGGATGTCTCTTACCTCACCGATTATTTCACTCATTAACTCTTCATTCATTTTGTGTAGTCACGTGAAAATGCAGATATGCAATGTTTAATAATAAAGCTTAATGATGGCAGTAATAGTAAGTAGTAGACTTAGTCTTGCAGGGTTTCCAGCACCCTCTTGTGCGTGCTGCTTTATGGCCTGTCTGGTAAAGTGGGCACTGCGCCGCACACCCGTTCACACAAGCTGCTCCCCTGGGTGAAAGGGTTTTTATGACATTTTCTCTCCATTGGTTGTATGATCTTTTTGTGTGTATGTGACTAGGAAGAATAACAGAGGCAAAGCTAAAATTGATATGATTCCTTTTAATCTGTTTTTATACTTAACATTATTTATGAAGTTTAAGTCAGCCTTTGAATTCTCAAGAATTGTATCTTTAAAATATTAGTAAAAAAAGAGTCGAGTAAAAATCACAGCAAGTGTTGTGTGCTATGTGTCTGGAGCTCATAGGCTGCTTATCGTAGATGACGGTCTCGTTGACTACGGGAATATTCAGGGCACTGCAGTGAGCTTTTCTCCTCTAGAAAGAAAAGTAAGCTCTGATGAAAATAAATACCTTGAAAGGTTTAAGTGATACACTACATTATATGTGTAGTGTGCCTTAATCAGAATACTCCTCCGGTTCAGAAAGACATCACTTGAGCAACCCAGAGTAGCTTCAGCTACGTAAAGTCGGTTCAATGATCAGCTGAAAGGCGTGTGTCGCGCCTCTTTTATTTGTAAAGAAACTCATGCAGAGGTTATGAATGCCCTCCCTCTTCTTTTTTATAAAATTGAAGTGAAATTTACATAACGAGTGTAACCATTTTGAAGTATACAGTTCAGTGGCATTTAGTGTATTCACGGTGTTGTGTAGCCACCAGAGACCCACTTATTTTTAATCACAGAAGCCTGATGCCTTTCCTGCCACTCAGTGTGGGCCATGGCTTGTCTCTTTTGGATGTCACAGTGTATTTTTCCTAGAAAGGATGAGTAACATGGAAAACAGTGCTTTACCTTTTTGTCTTATTTGAATTATTAAATTTTTTTACTGAAATTTCAGTCTCCTTTTAATATGTGAGATAATCACAGAAAAACAGAAAAATAGTCACTAGAATTTAGGATTGGAGATGAATACTTGTAGCATTTTGTTATCACTGCTGGGAGCTATTTATTTCAATATAAAAGGATTATTTAAAATGTGTAAATCACACAAATAATATTACATTTGACTGAAAAATGTTATACTCAATATTTTGCCTTTTTATTATAAATTAAACTCTACTTAAAAAAGAGGATAACTCTATTAAAAGGAGTAAAGATGTTTTCCTTCACAGCATTCCTGAAAACGGTGTTAGAGGTTTTTCTAGATTTACGAAATTTATTTCTGTTGAGTCTGCAACCTCTGTTCACAGAGGCAACACAGAGTGTTTTTAAATTATTGATAGAGTTGAGAAGGTATTTCTGTTTATCTTAGTTGCAATTTTGGCATCCATACCTCCACACCAAAGCACTCCCTCTCCATTTTTGGCTGGCTTGTGCAAGCATATTACTTCTACCCCAATTGCTTAGTTGCAAAAACTAAAACAATTTCTTCCAGAGCTGTGTTGATACCTCAGGACGCTCCAGAGCACCGCTTGGTAATGGGGTACTTCTTAAATGATGACGTCCTCAATACAATCCGATGAAGTTAGTCGGAAAGGGAAATTTTCAGGTTTTCTCATGGCGTTATAGAACACTCCCTTTTTCAGCGTGTTGGCATTCAGATTGTCAGCTTTTGTTTACAACCTGTTTTACTTAATGTAATTACTAGTCTTGAATCCCAGAACTGGGGGTAGGGGAGTGTGGGGGAAAAAAAAAGTCTTGAATCCCAACAAAATCTCTTCACTGAGTTGATCAGTGAGTGCATGGTGGACTTCGAAGACAGGTTGTGCTAAGCTGGTCTTGTATAGTGTCCGCGTGCCCTGAAATGAGTGGTGGACTTGTGCAAGTGAGTGTGAGTGCCCTGAAGCTCCCATGGCAGGGGATGGTATTAGTTATGCCATGTGTGGAGGGGAAACATTCTGATCAAGCTTTCTTTTTCAATTTTAGCATTTACCAGCCATCTCTTTGTTCTGCATAATGAAAGCTAATGTAATAATAGCACCCATTATTGATCTGCTTTTCTTGTTCTCTTCAAAATAAGTAGGGAAAAATGGAAGGAATTAGATGACGGGGGGAGGGTGGCAACATAGAATTTTAAAAATATATTTATCGAGTTGAGAAGGTATTGAAACATTTAGTCCAGGTTTGTTTGTTTTCTGAACAGATTATAGGTGCTTGGCGATCAGCAACGTGTGTTGCTGAGATGTGCAGAGTTTAGTTGATTAAAGGAAGGACCCCTGAGAGTCCGGTAGCAGGCTTCAAGTTTACGGGTTTCTGTGAAGTCACTGGGCGTCCTGCCAGAGTATTGGGGTTCTCCAGATCCAGTAGCTTCTGGAGAAGTCAGCCGCACCGCTCTGTGCTTAGCCTCATCAGGGGACAGCAGCGTCCTGTGGCTGGAATCTGGGCTGCCTTACGCACAAAACAGCTTTTCCCGGGGGCGGCATGGCAGCACCTCTGCGTTTAGGTCCAGCACTTTATTTGCAATGCCTCCTGTTCTTACATTTCCTTAAGCTTGTATTTCTGATTTTGTTTTGCTTTCTTACAGATCTTTATTCCCATTTTACAAGGCCTGGCTCTTGCTGCCAAAGAGTGCTCCCTTGATAGTGACTACTTCAAGTACCCTCTCATGGTAAAACTTTGTTCTTTTTCTTTAACCCATTCCGTGGATGTTTTCTTCCAGATTATTTTAACGTGCACTTTTCTTTCAGGTCCATGATCAACCTTGTTTTCAAATTTAAACCATGAAATCATTGTGTTGGCCATGCAGAGTGTTTGGTGTGCAGTGAGAGGCATCAGCGAAGACAGTTAGCAGCCCGGTACCTGCCCCGCCCATCCGAGGCCTAGACAGGACCCAGTGACGCAGTCCTTAAATGCACTTCGCCTTATTGGGTAGCTTATGGAAACTAATTGTTGGTGGGATCCTTCTAAGTCTCCCAGCAGTGAGCACACCAGACTACTTGGGATGAAATTTTGTTGTTTAAAATAAAAAATTGCAAATTCAGATAAAAAGGCAAAGTTATGCAAAGGAAAGGATACAGCTTTATCCTTACGTAGAGACTTTCTACAGAAAGTATGAGACTCATTCTCTTGCTCCCCTTCCCTGTTTCCTGAGGCTGCACACTTCTCTTAGGCTTTACTCGGGCACAGAAAGCAGCCCTGCTTGGCCCCGCACGGCGCTGGGAGCAGGAGCGTAAGCTGTGGGCACAAGAGTCAGCCGGATTCTCACCCAGGCCCTGTGCCATCCTGAAAACAAGGGCGCCAGAAGCAAAATAACAGGCTCTTTTCCTCTCTGACTCTCATTTGACATTTTGGGAGAAAAATATTTTGAAGGATTATTGAATATTTCTCATTCTAGAAATATGAAGGAAAATATCAAAATACTTCGTTAAGTCTGCATATAAACACAACCTTGTGTAAATTGAGGCCTTAGTGAAATTGATATTTTTTACTGCATTTGTTCCTTTCTTTCATTATACCAACTTCCCATTATATCTTGCCATTAACCCATCACTTATTGAGGGCCCATTCTGTGCCAGACCCTGAGGACAGAGGAGCTGGTTAGACAAGGGACTTTTCCAGAGGGTGCTCAGAACCTGCTGCAAAAATCAAGACCACAGCGCTACGGTCAGAAAATGACACCGTGATAAATGCTAACAGAGGTGTACCCAAAGGGTGTGTTCATCTCCTAAAAAATCAAAATCAGTCTAAATGGCTAAATGTTAAAAGACACTGCTTAGGAACAGGAATTCTTAGTTTTAAAAATAATTTTGAATGGATTTATATAGGGCTCTTTTCATTGCACATGTTATTCAGGTTTCTAATAAAATTCATTAATCCTTATGCAGTGTTCTGTCTGTGGCAGATAAAAGGAAGGAGAATAATCTGATTGAGTTCAGTGATGAAATATTTCAGTGCATATTAATTATCACTGTATTATGTAAATATTCCTTCATGGAATTGTTGAGTTTTCTCTGGTGGTTTGACTTAGCTTGATGTTTAGGTTAGGAGCATTTAGTGTCAGATAGCAACAAAATGTTCTTCGTGGTCAAAAGACAAAGACCTTCATTATGATAGACAATAGTTGTATTCTGCACCGTTATTGATGCTTGTACAGCAATGAAAGTGCATTTCGAGAAAGGACAATAGTGAGAGGCAGGCAGAGGAAGTCTGTTGGAGCCAAAATCAGAAACCACTGTGATCATTCTCTGGGTCACTGGATCCCAGCTTTGCTATACATTGGGATCCCCTGGGGATCTTTAAAAAAAAATCCCGTCGCCTGGCACCCCAACACCCCGACACCGTAGTTAAAGCTCATCACGTGGCCTGTGGGGGTGTGGCCTGGCATTGGGATTTCCGAAGCTTCCCAGGAGATAGGAATGTGCAGCGAACTGTGGGGACCAGCCCTGGGTAGCGAGGACTCTTCCTCCTCTGTGGCCCTCTGAGCCTCGGAGCACCTCAAAGATGCGTCCGTGCCTCATGTCCACGCCACAGAGAAAGCGAGATGCCCTGTTGAAGTAGCGTTGACTGGATTAGCGTGCCTGCGAAGTTGTGCTCATCCTTAAAAAGGCCCTTTTCATGGTTCTCTCATGGAGAATGGTGGGCACTCCAAAGGAGAATTTTGGAGTTCTCAACCAGAGGTCTTGAAACCAAGGAATATTTTTAAGTATGTCCTATATTTGATAGCTTATTAAATTGTAATTATTTGTAGTCCCGTTTAGCGCTGGCAAGACTACCCATCTAAGGTTGATGAAGCACATCTTTTTGATGTGGAAAATTATTAAGTGAAAAAAATCACTTTTTGTAAAAATATACACACCTCTATGAGTATATGCACAAAAATATGTCTGGAAAGCTGTTAACTAAAATATCAATAGAGGTTATCCCTTAGGGTAAAGGTTATGAGTAATTGTTCATTTCATTTTATATCTGTTTTACGGTGTGAGATGTTGTTGTTAATCAAAAACACAGTGAAGCTGTTAGTGTTTGGAGGGAGTGCATACGTCGTTTTAGCAGCAGCAAAAACTATTCCTCGGTGCTCATGCTGCGGTCAGAGGAAACATGTTTAAATGACTCTCTCTGATTTCCAGGCGTTAGGGGAGCTCTGTGAAACCAAGTTTGGGAAGACACACCCCGTGTGCAATTTGGTAAGTGCCTCCCTGATGCGCTTGCACGTTGTTAGTGAGCATGTAGCTGAGCATGTTCCTTAGGTAGCATTGCCTGGAAGATGCATATTGGAGGACATGTAGATTAGATTTAGGCAGCATGGTTCTCAGCTGTTAAATTGATGTTAATACGTTACTTCCTGGGATGAAGCTATTTACTTTCGTGTGATTTTTTTATTCATAAGTGTTGTACATCTAGAATAACAAGTCCTACAAAGAATTTACTGGAATCCTTTCAGGGTATAAGAATAGTTCATTTGAACTCCATCAAAGAATCTTGAAACTTAAAAGTATCTTATAAAAACATGGAGGAGTTGGAGGACTTTCCTCCACCCAGGACAGGAAAACGCCAACAGGGATGCTAATGCTTTTGAGGGTCTGTGTTTTGGATGTTAAGTGTCAGCCGTTGTGCCGGTTGGTCACACCTGCTGAAGAGCGTGGCTGTTGAGAGCTCGCCTGTTTATCACATTCTTACATCACGTGCCGATTCCGCAGCTTGATTGGCCTCTTCCGCTCCGCACAGGTCGCTTCTTTGCCGTTGTGGTTGCCGAAGTCCCTGAGCCCTGGCTCTGGGCGGGAGCTACAGAGACTCTCCTACCTGGGGGCTTTCTTTAGCTTCTCGGTCTTTGCAGAAGATGATGTAAGTACAGTGGCCACTCCCACCTTGCAGCTCTTTGTCCAGGTTCCTTCTGCAGATGTACATTATACATCGACTGAATTTGTTCCTTCTCTTTCCAGGCTAAAGTGGTTGAAAAATATTTCTCAGGGCCTGCCATTACCCTGGAAAACACTCGCGTGGTTAGCCAATCATTGCAACATTACTTGGAGCTGGGAAGGGTAGGTGCTCAGAAAGTGAACCCAGGGGATGAATCAAAGAGAAACTGTAACCTGTATCTTAAACAATCACTGCAGCAGGAATAGTATGTGCCCTTGTTAGGAGGCATCACTGGGGACAGTCCTGAGTTGGGTGGCCGGGCTTGCTCTTAGGCGTGTAAAACATTTCAACTATGGGGTGAGTGAGCACTGTTAGTGTGCGCACACTACGGAATGACTCGCTTGTTCCAAATGTGGGTTGTGTGTCTTCAGTTCTCAAATTTGCAAGCCGCAAAGTTATAGGCTAATTATAGCATAATAAAGGTAATTTTGAGCCTATCCTGGAAAGGAAATAGCAAAGGCTCTTTCATTAAAACTATAACGAGCTGCCTGCCCTTCTCTGCACTCCGCCTTCATGCTGGCCCTGTTGATGTCGTCGAGTGTGGACTTTGCCTCCGTTCCTCTGTGGTCAGGGTCTCCTGCAGTGGGTGTGCGCGGCAGCAGGGGAAAGCGGGAAGGAGGCTAGCTGTTCTTAAGTCGGAAAGGGATAATTTCAAAGTAAAGTTTTAATCTTTTTTTTTTTTTGTCTGTTTTTAAAATAAATTTCAGCAAGAGCTTTTCAAGATTCTGCATAGTATTTTGCTAAACGGTGAAACCCGCGAGGCTGCCCTTGGTTACATGGCAGCTGTCGTCAATGCCAACATGAAAAAAGCGCAGATGCAGGTAGGGCTCCTAAGGCCTCCTTTTACTTACTCATGACATTCATTCCTCTAACTCCTGTGCACTCAGTGCCGACAGACCTTGTTCTGGGGGCTGGAGGTGCGGTGTGGGGCAGGAGAGCGGAGCCTCCTGTTGCTGTGCAGCCCGTGGTCTGTAGGGTAAATGAGTAAACATGCAGACGTTACTTCAGACAGCCATAGCGCCTAGGAAGCAAGTGCAGCAAGGTCCAGGACTTGCGGGCAACCTTGCAGCGACCAGAAAGAAGCCTTGGGAAGATTTTTGATTGGGTGGCAGAAAAGCACCTATGAGGAAGTGACCTTTGATCAGGGACCTGACTGATAAGAAAGAACCAGGCATTTCAAGGCTAGGAAAAGAGCTTCCAGAGATGTGAAAGGCCCTGAGGTGGGAATGAACTAGCTTGGGAACAAGCCCCACGTATCGGCTTTTGCACCGGGGGACAGTGAACAGGAAAGAGGAAGGCGGGTCGTGGGCAGAGGGGCAGGCAGAGGCTCTGTCAGCTTGGTCGGTGTGGTAAGAACTGTGGTGAGGAACCCCGAGGGTTTTCAGCAAGAGCCACCCAGTTTGCTGTGCAGGTGGTGGACTGAAGTGGGGAGCGGGGCTGGAGCAGACCTGAGGGGGCCCAGACACACGGTCCCGAGTGCCCCGGCCTGGGGAGGCAGGCCAGGGGCCTGGCTGTTTTGCCAGAGTAGAAAAGTTACAGGGGCATGCTTCCAGTGCCACTGATGGATGATGTGACGTTTCTACTCCGAAGAAGGAAAAAAGTGCATAGCAAAGTGTGGACCTTGTATCAGACTGTCTGATTTCCAGCTCAGGTTCCACCATTTACTAGTGGGAGACCTTGGTTACATCTCTGTTTCTCCAGTGCCTCGCTGCTAAGGGGGGTAATGGGAACTGCGTTTGTGGATTGGTGCATGAAGCCGTTGGAGCAGCGCCTCCTGCGCAGTGAATGCTCAACCTGCGTTAACTCTCATTGTCGTAGTCGTTACAGTGTTACTGCAGGGATGTGCCCTCGCGTCGGCCATGGAATCCTAGTTGAGGGGGAACAGTGAAACTAGTCGTTCTGGTGCTCCTGAGGGGAAATAAAGAAGAGGAAGGAAGCAACGTTTAGTGTTTCTGCTTACTAACTTTGAAGCTCTTAGGCACCTCACTTAAATTCCCTGAGCTTTAGTTTCCTTCTCTGGAAAATGTGAATAATAGGATAACTGACTTCTAAGGGCTCTTGTGAAGAGTCAGTGAGAGAATGTATAAAATGTTTCCCATGATTTAACTCCCAACCAGTAGCACCTGCTAATAGAGTGACATTGGGGACATGATGTGTATGTCTTTCTTTGACCTGAAGATGCACGTTTGGTTATCCTTCTTGTAAAGTTGTGCTAGAATTTCTGTTCACATCACTATTCTAAATGCTTCCTTTCCTGTTTCCCAGACGGATGACAGATTGGTTTCTACGGACGGCTTTATGCTGAATTTCCTTTGGGTGCTGCAGCAGCTCAGTACAAAGATCAAGCTGGAGACGGTTGACCCCACGTATATATTCCACCCAAGGTGTCGGATCACTCTTCCCCACGATGAGACCCGAGTGAACGCCACCATGGAGGATGTGAACGACTGGCTGACTGAGCTTTGTGAGTGCCGTGTTCATCGTTGGGCCACCAAATGCTGCCCTTCCATTTTTTTAATAATCAAAAAAAAGGAGAGACGACCTTTACCAGCAGATTACAGCTGGACTCAGAGCATCATCCCGCGGCTTGGATTTGACACCAGCACAGCATCCCTTCCTGTCGCCTCCTCGCTCCCTGTAGCCCATTCTTCTCTCCTCCAGGGACAGCTTTCACTGACTCCTCACCCCTACAGTGATGACCTCAGGCTCAGGGACTTCTCTGTGTCCCCGAGATTCACTCTGAGGGGGAGGCAGGCAAGGGAGCGTGTCTGAGGCCTTGATTGCTCGTTGCTCAAGCAGCCAGCATTACTGCTCTTCATGAGCTGTGGCTTTCTTTAGGGCCAGGCTCGACAGCCGATTCAGAGCTGTTTCTGAGTTGTGGTGAATTTTAACCGAAACATAGGCGACATCATAACCTAGAGATTTTAGTGTGCCTTCCATTTGGACCTTCCCTTACATTCTGTAGGAAATTTCCTATTTGTGGCTGATGGGATGATGGGGAGAAGAACTTGAATAAGTATGTGGATAGCAGCTGTACCATCTTGTGGTTAAATAGGAGGAGACCAAGGTTCCGAAAGGTGCCGAGCTCACCTGGCCTGTGGATCAGCAAGCGCGCCGCTGCTCAGGAGTTCCGCGGCGAGTGCAGGGCTCCTCCTCCTCTTCTTCCACATGGCCTGACCTGAGATTACCCTTCCTGATGTTCAGTTTGATTGCAGCTTCTCACTCAGTTTTTCTCATTTTTCTATAGTGAGAGAAGCATTCAAATTCTTTATGAAATCTCTGTCTCACTCAGGAGACCTGATTTCAGATAAGCCAAGCAGACTCCAGAATTAGGATCTGGGCTCTTGGGGTCCAGGAAGTTACGGGGTCATGGAGGAGGAGGTCAAGGGGGCTTTTCTAGAGAGCAGGCTGCCTGAAGAAAGGCTGGAGCCCAGGCAGACTGGCTCTGAGGAAGGCCCCTTCCAGCGGAGGGCCGTGGGAGGAGGAGGAAGGAGAGAGCCTGCGCTGCTTGGCCTCAGCCACCTCCCTGGCTAAATGTGGTCGTGACCCGGAGCGGTCCCAGGAGGCAGAGGGAGCGAGGGCAAAGGAGTGAAGGCAGAGGAGACGGGAGAAGAGAAGACAGCAGGCAGAGGGGAGTTATGGAAGCTGTGGCAGGTAAAATGTGTCTGGGAGACAGGTGCCCAGGAAAACAGAAAGGTGGAAATGCAAGAGAGATGGGCCCCATGTTTTATGCTGCAAAAACTCAGCAATAACGATGCTGGGTTGAAAGTGCATCCTAAGTGGGGTGAGGGGTGACTTTCTGCTTTTTCAGTTTTTTGGGGTTGGTACAACTCAAAGAACCTCAATACCGGACCTTCAGCTAAGTGGCCACTTCCAGCTTAGGCAAGTGGGTGTGTTACAGCTGCCCAGGTTAAGAAGTTAGAGTTTATAGAGTCTAGAAAAAGCATTATTTGTTTGGATGCTAGTGATTCCTCACAAGTTATTACCTCTCCAGAAAATGAATTTGAGCTCGAGATACAATAGACAATAAAAATGAACACAGTGAAACAGCTCTTAAGTGGATTAGCCAAAATCAAATAGGTATTTAGGGGAAATGGAAGGAAATACACTGTTCTGAGTTTAAATATATATAATAAAAATGATAGCAGCAGCTTAGCTATTATATAGATTTTGCATATGCCCATTAAAATTCTCATGAACTATTTCATGGATCTTAATGAGTTGATGATCTAAAATATGAACGTTTTGAAAATATTATGGTTATTGATCTTTTTCTTCATGCTGTAAACCATGTTGTTTAGTGACAGGTGTGAGAGCCCCGTGGCACTGTGCGTGGAACAGGCAGCAGCAGCATCACAGGCAGATGTGCACATTCCAGAAAAATGCTTCAGCTGCCCTAAGAACCGAGTATCTGATGGGCTGTCAGTCAGTGTGGGATTAGTGTCATTTGAACGAGTAGCTGCTGGTATGATCTTGGAATAAATCTCATAGGTCAATAAATTTAGAAGAATCAAAGGTTAAAACACTTTTCTAAAAATCTAGTAAAGAAAACATGGGAAAAACCAAACAGAGGATTTGGCCAGCTATGAACGAGAGAGAAATTTATAGTAATTTCAGAAATGAAGTGTATTATCAGAGACAGTATGTGTATACATATGTATCTTAATATGTAAACATGCCTTGTATAGAGCAAGGCAACATGAATATGTAAAATGAAAGAATGGATGAAAATACGTGTCCTATAATTGGTAAAATTATACCATTCAAAATATAGAACTGTTAGAAATACATAAGATGAAAACCATATTCTACCAAGAGACAGGTTTTTTAGTTTGGAACAAAATGTAAGTAGTATGTGTCATAGGAAATAAAATACACTTGTGGGGAAAAATACGTGTACTTGTAGGAATAATTGGATACAAAATGAAAGAAATTCAGGTTATCATTACATAACTATAAATTATCCAAAAACAAAGTAATAGGACAGAATGTAAGCTTGTGAAGAAATAGATGTCATTTAATCAATTTATTGGTCTACCTAAAGTGCATCCTGGGGGCTCTTGACAAAAATTACAGTCCTTCCATTCTCAGCAATTCCACTTTCCAGCATATGCTCCAAAGCTGGGGGCGAGGGAGTAATTTTTAGTACATAGATTTTTCCCAGTACTATTTCTAATAGAGAAAAATTAAACAACAAATATGCTGCACAGTAGGGAAGTGGTAGAATCTGTAGCTTATTAACATAACCTAATATCATTTTGAGATTTTTAAATGATGTTTATGACATGTATTATAAAATATATGAAATACATCAAGAAGACACATCATAAAAGATTGTTGGTCTGCGTATATGTAAATATTTAATCAGATGGGGGGAGAAAGCCTTCTCTTTAAGTGGTGTTCACAGGAATTCTGTCTTTCTTTTAACATTACCGTATAGGTTTTTACCGTGTTGTTTTTTAGTTTTTGTCTTTCATTGTCTATAATTTTTTTTTAAATGTCCTTAAACTTCTTGAAAATTCAAGTGTAATTTCACCTCATTAGTTGTGCTTTTTCTCCGATTTAGTCCTGTAACCAATTTTATTTAGGGGATTATGTTGCTTTTCCTAGATGGAGACCAGCCTCCATTTTCTGAGCCGAAGTTCCCCACGGAATGCTTCTTTCTCACCCTGCACGCCCACCACCTCTCTATTCTGCCAAGCTGCCGTCGCTATATCCGCAGACTCCGGGCCATCCGGGAGCTCAATAGGTATGTGCGATGCCATGTCCTGAGGTGCCTGAGTCACCGCGTGCTCTCAGACGCGTGCAGTGCCGGAGGGCCCACATCATTGGAATGTAGGGGAGTACGTATGTTCCAGAGCACCATCTGCCCCTGCTGCCGCATCCGTGTTCCTCTGTGGGCCAGAGCTTTACATGGTCACATGACCCAAACTTTGGCTTCTTGGAGCTCTCCATCCTTGGCATGTGGGGTTACTGCAGTTTTCTATTAACTTTTTCTCCTGGGTATGGTATTTAAAGGATCGTTTGGGTTCCAGACACAGCCCTCCTTCTTTGGGCTGTGAAACAGTGGCTCTGATTCCTCTCAATGAGCGGGATCATTTGCTTCCGCCACCATATGGCTCCCTTGTTGCGTGTTGCCCTGTGGCATTAGTGGACCAAAATGCTCAGGGAGTGGCTTCAGTTTCCACTTCACTGGCACCACTGTTGTTTTTCTTCATCTACGCCTTTCTCCCCCTACAGCAGCATCTCCAAACAAACAGAAATTACAGGAAGCAAAAAAGTTTTTGAACAGGTCATCTTGAATAATAATGGTATGGCCACTTCCACCATTTGGTCCAGCACCGGTGTGGTCTGGCTATGGCACAAAGTGCCACATGTGTATCTAAAACTCTGTATTTATATCTGCCTTGCTAAAGTCACTTATTTCTAGTAGTGATTCTGTAAATTCCTTATGATTTTCTTCCCACATATGGATGTTTTTCCACCTCCTCACCAATACTTGTTTCTTGTCTTTTTGATAATAGCCATTCTGACAGGGGTGAGGTAGAACCACATTGTGGTTTCAATTTTCATTTCCCTGATGGTTAGTGATGTTGAGCACCTTTTGTTATGTCATATTTTCTTGTGCAGTTCAAAGTATTTTTCTATTTTTAATCATTTTTGTTTGACCCATGGATTATATAAATCCATGTTTAAATTCCAGATTCTCAGGGCATTTGTCCATTTATCCTTTGTTACTGATTTCTAGCTAAATTACATTATAGTCAGAAGATACATTCTGGTTTTTGTCCTTTGAACCTTGCTGAGATTCGCCTTCTAGCCTAAGATTTCCATTAGTAAATGTTTCAGATAGGCCAAAAGAATGTGCCTTCTGGGTAGTTTGTTGCAGTGTTTCATGTATGCCACTTAAGTTTGTTCATCTTTTGTTTCCATGTTCCTACTGTCTGCTGAGTGTATCAGCTTATTATTTCAGTAACAGAGAGGCCTATAGAAGTTTCAGACTGACTGTGGATCTCTCTCTGTGTCTCTGTTCTGGAGCGGATGCCCCCGGCTCTGTCCCTCCCACTGACTTTGGAGGATACAAGGCAGTGGCACCGTCAGCCGCCTGCACTCCCCGCCACAGAGGCGTCCCCTCGGTGTTTTTGAGATGGCGGTGCTCCCTTCCCCGATGTGTTTCACCGCTGACACAGGGAGCGCCCTCTGGCCGTGGCTGTGGGGGGCGTGCCTGGGGGCAGGTGTTGGAGCTCGCCGTAGCCGGGAAAGCTCCACCGGTATCCCCGCTCCGTAATGGCAGGTTCCTGCCTCTGGAGGACCCAGGAACTCCTGGCAGCCCGCTTTCACTCAGCACCGGTCGCTGCCAGTCCCAGGCTTCAAACAGCCGGGCGCATAGGTGGACCGCAGCCCAGCCCCTCGGAGAGCGCTGCGTCCTGGCTCTCTGGAAGGTGCGGTCCTGTCTGTGAATCCAGCCCTGCACGGTCCTCCCTTGCTGATGAAGCGCCTCAGAGCCCATTCCCACCCATGCTTCCCACGTTTCTGTCACCCCCTGTTTGGTAGGTAGAATAACGGTGTCGCAGGTGTTCGCATCCTTGACCTCCAAACCTGTGCATATGCTACCTTACATGGTAAAAGAGACTTTGCACTTGAGGTTAAGTTCAGAGCCTTGAGGTGGGGAGATTTTCCCGGGTTATCTGGGTAGCCCCGATATCAGAAGGGTCCTTGTAAGAGGGAGGCAGGTGGGACAGAATGAGGAAAGGAAACATAATGACGGAAGCAGATGTCAAGTGGTGTGGTCCACGAGCCAGGGAGTGTAAGCAGCCTCTAGAAGCTGCAGAAGGCAGGGAAACACTCTCCCTTAGAGCCGTAAGAAGGAACGCTGACCATTTTAGACTGCTGACCTCCAGAGCTCTGTGACTACAATTGTGTTGTTTCAGGCCACTAGTTTGTGATAATTTGCTATGGCCGCAGTGGGGAACTAATAAAATGCACTAGCAAATCTGGCCCTTTTTTTTCCCTTCCACTGTGAACTTCTCCTGCATATGACTTTGTAATTGGCCTATAAGGACAGTAATTGATACCACTGTGAGGCAAGGACATATGAGGAGTGGGACCTAAGGGAAGCTGGCGTGTTCTCCTGCAACATGACTACTCAGGTACGGGTGCTGCAGGCGCCACTTCTGCCAGCAGGCGAGGCCCAGGGGATTTAGGGCCATGGGTGCTCAGAGCCGTCCAGTTCCCCCAAACTCCTCCTTTAGAATTCCTGGAGCGCCAGTCCTCGCTCTGACTTTCAGAGAAGAGATCCAGTCAGGTTATGAATTCAGTTTATGTTCTTTGGTACTTTGTAGGACCAGACTCTGTGGTCATCTTAGAAACTCCCTGGTTCATTAACTTTTCCTTGCAGTGGGATTTTAACATTGTGAGCCAGCCATTTCACTCTGTAAGCTCTCTGGCATAGCGGAAGAAGCCGCTCCGTGCCTTAACCCCAGGAGCTCGCTGCTGGCCGTTTGTGCAGCAGATCTTCCGCGGAGAGCCCCAGGCCACCAGCCTTCTGTCCCGAGATGCCAACTGAATCTTCACTTCCAAGTTAGAGAACTAGTTTTCCGTTGCTGCTGCAACTGACTTCCACAGCTTCTGTGACTTAAAACAACAGCAGTGACTATCCTGCGGTTCTGGGGGGCAGAAGTCCCAAAACCAGGGCGGCACTCCTTCTGGAGGCTCTAGGGAGATTCTCCCGCCTTGCCCCTAGAGACTGCTGCCGCTGTTCCTTGGCCCCGGCCCTTTCCTCTACCGCACGCTGGGCTCTCTCCCCGGCCTCTGCCGTCACATCTCTTTTCTTTACTCAGATTCCCTTTTTCTCGTGGAAGGACCCTGAGATGATATTGGGCCCACGCAGAAAACCCAGATAGTCTCCTCAGCTCGAGGCCCAAAGCCTTAATCACATCTTCAAAGTCCCTTTTGCCATGTAAGGTAACACGTGTTCACAGGTTCTGGGGATCAGGATGTGACGTCTTGGGAGGGGAGCATTATTCCATCCAGCACACTCATGTTCTAGCCACACACATGAGTTTAGTTTATCTGGAATGAAGAGAAAGAGGATTTTTAAAGGTTACTGTTTGGTTTATTGCATCCTTGAAATGGCTGGAAGAAAGGTCCTCCTTTGAACCTGGCCTGGCAGGAATGGCTTCAGGGGTCAGCCGGACAGAAGAGCCCACCACTTCCAGAACCATGTGGCCGCCACGTCAGGGCTCACTTCGGCCTTCAGGGAGCGTTCGCCTCTCAGTGGACTAGGTCATGCGCAGAAAGGTTGTCATCAATTTTAAGACATCATTTTAGGAGCCAATAAAAAAGAAAAATGCTGCCAATTAAACCATAACTTGTCATTGATTGTAAAGTAGTCTCTGATATTAAAAAATGCTAAAATTGGGGGGGAAGTTTGTGTCGGAGAGTCATTGAAATGGTCAAAATGGATAGATAAGATGGAAAATGGATCTGTGTTTTCTCTCATTTGACTGTTAGTCTTTGATTTCAGAACCGTGGAAGATTTGAAAAATAATGAAAGCCAATGGAAAGATTCCCCACTGGCAACTAGACACCGTGAAATGCTGAAGCGCTGTAAAACTCAGCTTAAGGTTTGTATGGTTAATTGGAATAATTATAGACCAGCCTCATAATAGTAAATTTCCCACCAGAATATGTGCCTTGATTAAGCAATTTTCCTGTCTCTATTTTTTCCTTCATTATTCTTTCCCCCCAAGATAAAATGGTACATTTAAAAACTTCTTGGTACTTTGCATGTGTCTATATAGTATTTTTATCTCAGGACAGACTGTGCATATGATATGCCAGTGACAACATGAATTCTTAATCAATTTAATCCTCCTCAATTTAATATCACCTCCCTTTCCCTGCTCCTGCAGGACCCCCTACTCCCCGCCCCCAGCCCTGTATCCCAGCACACACTGGCGTGTGTCTGGCCATGCATTCTCATGGCGTTTGACAGGGTGGATTTGTGGGGGTGGAAAGATCTCTTTCCTTTGCACCTCAACTCTTCATTTTTAATTGAAAATGATCCATCACACAGAACCTAAGCATAGATGGAAAGATTTCTGTTTATGAGACACAGCTTTAAAAAAAGGTTGCACGAGGGAAGCACAGATAGCAAATTTATTCATTTTCCTTATGTTTGTGTTCAAATTAGAAAGCTGAATGTTAGCGGGTCGTGCTCTCTCTTGACCAGGATAATGTGTAGAAATTGTGTCTGACTTGGATTTCTGGCACAAGTTAAGGTTTCGGTTTTATTTACTAAAAGACTAGACCTCTTTGTGGTGCAAAATAAACCAGGGGCCCTCACCTGGGGTCTGCAGAACCCTTGAGCACGCCACGGGCAATGTCTCCAGGAGTCTACAAACTGTTCAAATTAACATGTCGGTGCATGCATGCACGCGTGTTTAATCCTCTTCACAGAGGTCCCCTGAGGTAGGTGTTACACCCTGGGTGGACGAGCATTCTACCCAAGAGCAGCTTACAGGTGATGACCTGAAATTCAGATGCAGATTGTCTGGCTTCTCCCTACTCACCATCCCTGACCCCCAGAAAGCCTCCCCTGTCAGCCCCCTCCCTGACCAAGTTACTTAAACGTGACAGTAGTGACCTGCCTTTGAGCACTCACTGTGTGCTGGGTTTTGCATCCAGTGGTCTGTGTGCATATCTTTAGTTGCTCTTAGCACGTGACCAGCATCCTAAAGCTAGTTAGCGGCGAAGCCCTTGGCGGCCCAGGCCTCCCGTGCCCCGCCTGTTCCCCGCCTAGCGCTGCGGATGCTTGTTTAGATACCTACTAACCATGGCGGGCCATGCCTACTTCCACAGAAACTGGTACGATGCAAGGCCTGTGCGGACGCTGGCTTACTTGACGAGAGCTTCCTGAGAAGATGTCTGAACTTCTATGGCCTCCTCATCCAGCTGCTGCTCCGCATCCTGGACCCCGCCTACCCTGAGTGAGTGTGCTCAGCCCAGCACCTCGTTTCCGGCTGTGTGGTCCTCGCTCTTCCCCAGAGTCCATGTGGCTGGAACCAAAGCCCTTGCCTTAGCAAGACTTCATTTTCAGTTTCCAGATTGTACTTATGTAGACTAGGAAAGCAGCACTATTAATCAATATTTTCCTGTAATTAGGGAATGTCGACACCTGCCATTTTCATTTTGGCAGAGTGCTTTTGAAAAATTGGCTTTATTTTTATCAGCCTTTGGTTGATAGAAAATGAAATCTATAAACTGGAAGCGAAAAGCTGGAGATCACAGCATCCTGGGCTCTCCCGAGCCCTGGACCAGGGGCCTACCTGGCCAGGTCCGAGCGAGCTGAAAACCCTGGTGGCCTTATCGTCGCCTGGACAGCTCCTGCAGGTAGCCACACCATTGAATTTATCACCGCCGTTTTATCGTCGGTGTGCAGTCTGCGTGTCGCTGGCAGGGCCCCAGGCCTCCACGGGAGTGGGAAGTGTTATTTAAAGTACACACATGTGACTGTCGTCTTGGACTAATGCATGCTTTCCTTCTTGTTGACAGTGTAACACTGCCTTTAAGTTCAGACGTCCCTAAGGTGTTTGCGGCATTGCCCGAGTTTTATGTAGAAGATGTTGCTGAATTTTTATTTTTTATTGTACAGTAAGTTTCTTTAACATATTACATAGTTCTAATATGTTTTTATGTGTTTTGTATACATGATGAATTATATTGCCAACCTCCATTTTATGCTCATGTACCCGAAATTTCGTCTGACTGCCTTAACTGCTGCCTGGAGATTAGGAAAATAAATCCACGCTGTGGCACCAGGCCAACACCATTAATATCTCAGAGACCCTCAGGAGAGGGTTAGCAGTGCTGATGGTAATGTTGTCTGTGAAAATTGAGTTGAATTTCTAATGATTGTGTGTTTCTGAGAAACAGTAGGAGCAGCTTATAAATATCTGAGTGAACCTTCCAAGGAAGAAACACCACATTTATATTTTGTACCAAGAGTTTTCTCAATGGTAAAATGGGAGAAAGGTTTCAAAGTAATGGATTAAGCTTATAAGTGATGTTTTAGATTTTTAAAAATGAAAGCAATTAACTCCATCAAAAACATTTTCAAGTGTTTCGTGTAGTGAAGATCTATTCTGAAATACTACACCTGATGATTTCATCATAGCTTTGGTTTATTTTCTAAAATGTTATGGCTAGTAGACGTGATGGGTTTTGAACTTATCTAGTTATAATACAAACAGTCACTTTAAACTCAGTGTGTTAAAGGGGATTCAGCATCTTGGCTCCCAGGCTCATCCGTCCCTTCCCCACTTAAGGACATAGGCGTCCCCCCAGGTTGAGCTTCTTGGAACTTCATTTCTGGCTCTTCTCTCTTCAGATACTCTCCTCAGGTGCTTTATGAGCCCTGCACTCAGGATATTGCGATGTTCCTCGTTGTGATGTTGTGCAACCAGAACTACATTCGAAATCCCTATCTGGTGGCCAAGCTGGTAGAAGTCATGTTTATGACCAACCCCGCTGTTCAGCCACGAACCCAGAAGTTTTTTGAAATGATCGAGAACCATCCTCTCTCCACTAAATTGCTGGTCCCTTCCCTGATGAAGTTTTATACGGGTAGGTTCCTGGGCGTACAGGTAAGCCAGGCCATCCAAAGCCCATGGGTGAAGTTACTGTAGACCTGTTACCAAACACCGTGATGTCCTATCATAAGTGTAACCTACCAGCCAGCTGCCAGCAGAGCGTGTGCTGTTGGCTGTTTCCCCCTGCGTTGTGGAAATATGGCATTGACCCTTCTCAGACTCATCCTTGCTGGTTGAACAGGAGCCACTGAAAGCCAGATGAGTATCCTTGAGATCTAGTTAGTGTCAGCCACACAAGTTGGTGTTTTTATCCGAAAACACCTGGTTTATTTTAGCTTTAACCATACGGCATTAGTTTTGTAACACTGTCCTCTAACCCAGAATTTTGAAACTGAGAGGTGAAAGTTCTTATTTTGGGGGACCCCATTCAAACCAATGGAATCAGGATCCCTGGAGTTCCTTCCTCATTCAAGAATTCACGCTGAGAGAGTGCCTGCTGTCTGCCAGGCTCCGCGCCCAGTGCCAGGTGATACCAGTAAGCAAGACTGCGGACACATCAGACGGTCTGCAAGAGGGTCCCTCTCCTGGGGGGTGTATTCCACTTGCTTATCTTTAATTGGCTTTTCACTTGCAAACACGTATTCATAAAGCCCATTCCCTATGGGACCTGTTCCCCTGTCTTCTCCAAGGGCCAGACTTGCACTGATGAAGCATTTTCCCTCCAGTTTATGTTTTTCTCAGGAAAAGCAGTATGTCTTGTCTGTCATCTTCCGTTGAGCCCGGCACATCCAGGCACGGCATTTGGTGGGACATGCTCACCCTTGGAAGAAACGCCACCTGTGGGAGCACAGCTGCTTGCTGCTCACAGCAGCGACAGTGGTTAGCACCCTCTGTTCGGGGACAGTCCTCCTGCCCCATTAACCAGGGCCTGCTCCTGCTCATTTTGGGCTGGAGCTGTCATCTCTCTTTGCTTCTGAGGGTTCTAAGAATCTGTCTACCACCTGTCCCCATTGTCCCAATCATTTTGCAGCGTCTAAGAGTGTCTCTTCTTCCTTCAGCCTACCTCTGTCTTTTTAAACCTAAAGCAAGTTCATGAGCCCTTTGAAGTTTCGTTAACAGTTTGCTGACGTCCTCACTTCAGCAACAACAGAGGACGCTCCTGGGCAGAAGGCCCTTTCTTGGCTCCCAGTTCTGTTTCATCTCTCAGCCCTGGTGGGGGGCGCCACGGGCCTTTCCAACACAGAAGATGCACTACACGTGTGCAGAGCAGAGCCTGGCACGTACCAGGCTTAGTTGAATCAAAGATAATTTTGCATTTCATAAAATAATGATGAGGACCTCTTTTCACCTATCAGATTTATTTTCAAGATGTGAATACCTAGCACTAACGTGCTTATAGAGAAAGAAATGAACTGCAAAAGCCCATTTCTCCTCCCCCATACATTGTGTGCAGAATCAGGGCTGTGAAACACCATGAGAACATGTGTACATCGGTGAGGCCTTTCTGGAAGGCGGCTTGGCAGTCCACACCCCAAGCCTTAGAAACGTGTGTATCCTCCTCATCAGGAGCAGGCCAATCAGGAAAACAGAGGCGTACCTATTATTTTACTAGAGAGAATGCAGTGTAAGGCACTGGTCAGATGGGTATTTAAAGATGGAAAAAGACAAATAAGGGGCATTGGAGTAGCACAGTTGGAGTAGCAGATGGGTGCAGGGAGCAGCCATCGCCTGTCCCCCAGGCTGGAGGAACCACGGGAGGGGAGTGGGGTTCTTAGAATGCAGTGGCTCAGAGGAGGGCTTGGACAGAACTGGGACCCAGGCCTCTGAGGAAGGACACTGCCAGCTGGGTTGGTGTCTGCGGCTCTGCAGGTTTGCTAGCCCCACACGTAGGGAACGTAGCTGGAGACGGGCACCACCCGCCGCCACCCGCCCCATGGAGCATCACTGCCGACTGGGCGTCATTGCTCACCTTCAGTTGGCCTGTTCTCCTCCCTGTTGGCGAGCCTAACAAATGGCCAGCTGCATAGGGAGCCCTTGGCCCCAGCGCCCCAAAGCCAAGTGTAAAGGGTGGATTTGGGGAAGAGAGCAGCTAAATAACCAGCGCATCCTCATACATGTAAACTTAATTTCTAGTGATTTGTTCTGTGGGAACAGTTATAAATGAATGTAAATGCTTATACTAATATTCACTGCACCATTATTTACAGTTCAATGTAGTGAAAATACTAAAAACAACCTTAATTCCTGCTAATTGCAGATTAATTAATTATAGTTTATCCATATAGTGGATCTGTATGAGCCATGAAAAATAATGCGTTGTTTGCATTAAGTGGATAGATAATAAAAAGAAAACACCAAGTAATGAAAGAGCATGTAAAGTATGACCACATTTTGGTACGTATATATGTGATGGAAAAGAGTATGGAAGAATATATACCGAAATATTAACAGGGCGTTGCTTACTTTTTTAAACAATTCACAGGTATTACTTTATTTTTCTTTTTTTAGAGTTCTTTTCACTTGATATCTTTTTTTAAATTCTTCTTTATTCTGTTACATTTGTCCCAACTTTTCCCTCTTTAGGGAATTGGTTATTTTTGAATGGTAGAATGGTGACTTTTTTTTTAAATTATCCAAACTTTTAAAATTTTCTACTGTAAACATATGTTGTTAGTATTAAAACCAAAAACGTTACATACATTCTGTGCTCAGTGCCCTGGACCTGTCACTGTGGCTTCTGCATAAAGGACAAGGGTCCACAAGTGTGTGGAATGGAGCTGGGCCTCCTGCCCATGAGGCCAGTGCTGGGTGGTGGGGCCCCACTGGTGAGGTCTCAGGAGCTGGTGAGCGGACACTGTCCCCCCCTCCCCTGCGCCACTGAGCAGTGTGCCCTCTGGCCCTGGACGCCACTGTAGCCGTGGAGAGATGATACCCGTGCTAATAATAGCCACCACTTATTGAACACATACTGATCCTTTCACTTAATCCCAACCACAGCCCTGAAACAGGGCACTATAAATATCTCCATTTTACAAATGAGGAAACTGGAGCTTAGAAAGGTCAAGAAGTTTGCTGAAGGTCAGCAGCTAGCGAGCAGCAGCACCCTGTGCAGTTGGGCTTGAGCGCAGGTGCCCCAGCTGCTGTGCGGCTCGTCCTGCGGCCTCCGAGGGTCCGGCGCCGGAGAGCCTGCAGTGTGGCAGCCCAGGCAGCCCCCCTGCACACCCCTCAGGCCGGGCTTGGCCCTGCTGTTTCCGGCCCTGGCCCCTGACCATGGCTGACTCTGACGTGTCACCGATTGAAATGTAGAGCAGACGCCGTTTTTACACCCCAGGGAGAGTAAGCTAGCGTAGGACATGCTTCAGATCAAGTTTTTGTTTCAAAAATAAAGTTTGGTTTCAAAATAAGAGTGTTCTATTTGTGTCATAGTAGTCAGTTCCTTAAGGACCAGCTCTCAGAAGCTGGCTTCTCAGAGCGTAGAGGACCACTGACAGCCCAAACTTGCTGCACGACTCTTCTTTTCCCTGGGCTGATCGGAGTCAACAAAGCCAGCATCAGGCAGAGTCAGTCACTAATGCAGCAAGTGTTCGTGAAGCCCCTGCTGTGGGTCAGCATGGGCTTTGATGCCGGGGCCTGTGGGTGAAGGCATCAAAATCCCTGCCTTTGTGGGTCAGGTGTTCTAGCTGGGAGACAGACGCTGAACCAGTAAGTAGGATGCTTTCAGATTGGGAGCGTGGGCGAACGAGCGGTGCTCCTCTAAGAAGCACAGTCGGGGAAGGTCTCTGAGGAGACAACTTCAGAGCAACGCTGAAAAAGAGACAAAGGAGTGGACCATACGGGGATCTCAGCCAGTGTGGCAGGCAGAGGCAGCAGCAGGTCCGAAGTCCCCTGGCGGAGGTCAGCAGGGGTCTTGTTCATTTCCAGCCTCTTAGAAGTAGGACTGGAAGTTAAAACTTGGGCTGAAGTAATTTTGAGGTACATTAGAGTGAATTTTTGTTTAAAGTTTGGGAGAGGTGTATGTGGATGAGCAATAAGCTAATAGTAGGTGCTTAGTCTCTGCTCTGTTCAGGATACAATACAGGTATTAGGAGCAATTTAGAGGGTATAAGAAGTTCTGTGTCCCGCCCCCTCCACGCTGGTATCTTTCTTTGGTCTCTTCTAAATCAGCTCTCCACACTTCAGTTCACACGTCTGTCTATCCAATTAATAAAATGGCACTTAGTTCACCTTTACAGAAAGGTTGGCCTAATGGATATACATAACTGATTTCAGATCTTTGTGTAGTAGGTGTGAATTAACTTATTTTACTTTTAAGATTTTTTTAAAAGATTTTATATATTTATTTTTAGAGAGGGGAACAGAGGGAGAAACATCAATGTGTGGTTGCATCTTGCGTGCCCCCTGCTGGGGACCCTGCCTGCAATCTAGGCCTGTACCCCTACACTGGGAATCAAACCAGCAACCAACCCTTCGGTTCGTAGGCCCGAAGTAGCACTCAATCCACTGAGCCGCACCAGCCAGGACTCTTATTTTTAAATAGCTATTTTCTTTTTCAGTCACAAAAAAAATGTTGTGTTTTTTTGTTTGGGTTTTTTTTTTTTTTTTTTTTTTTTGCAATATAGAAAATACTAAGAAGAAAGTAAAATCATTGAGAATCTCTGTTAACATTTTGCTCTGTACCTTCCTAGTCAATTTCTATATTACGTGTGTGTGTGTGTGTACACCACGTTTTCTTTATCCATCTGTATATGTTTTCTTGAATCAGATTGGTAGGTCAGAGAGATGGGCATATTAATGGGTTGTGATACATTTTATCCAATTGTCTTAAAGAAGTTAGATCAGCTCTGGCTGGTGCGGCTCAGTGGATTGAGTGCTGGCCTGCGAACCAACAGGTCACCAGTTTGATTCCCAGTCAGAGCACATGCCTGGGTTGTGGGCCAGGTCACCAGTAGGAGATGTGTGAAAAGCACATTATTTCTCTCCCTCTCTCCCTCCCTTCCCCTCTGTCTAAAAATAAATAAAAATTTTTTTTAACAATTAAAAAAAAAGTTGGATCACCATTCATTCCCACCTGCATTTGTAGGATCCGTATCCACAAATTCTCACCTTCACTCAATATTGTCATTTTGCCATGTCTGCCAGTTTGATAGATGACAAAAACAATCTTATTGTAGTTTATCTTTTTCTTAAGCCTTATTGTCTTTACCTCACAGTTTTTCCTCCTTTTAAAATTTGTCATGAGTTCAGAAATTTCTCATGCTTAAGCTACTTGACATTTGTATGCTAAGTTTGATGTCTGTTCCGCTTTAATAGGTATGTGGATGTTGGTAATTGTCGATGAGGGATGAGTTCATGGGGATTCTCTCCGCTCTCCTTTATTTCGGTACATTTTTTAAAATGTCCCTAATACAAAAATATTTGAAATAATAGTCACATTTGATAGGTACTTGGCCCTTAATAAAATTTAACCCTGTTTATTTCCTGCTCAGGAATGCTGTGGAATTTCTACAAATCAGTAACTAAAATTGGGGGGAGGTATGATCATTCAGCCCCTGGTCTTTAGTGAGCCGATGCTATGCCAGTGACACAACTCTTCGCTCTGAATTTGCAGATTTGTATTTACTCAGTAACACTGTTGTAGCGGTAACTGCTTTTAAAAAGGTAAGAAAGTATACATCCTTCAGTCCTTTTGTCTGTCTGTTTTAGATGTCGAGCACACCGGAGCTACCAGTGAGTTCTATGACAAGTTCACCATTCGCTATCACATTAGCACCATTTTTAAAAGCCTTTGGCAAAACATAGCTCACCATGGCACCTTCATGGAGGAGTTCAAGTGAGTATCGGGCCCCTGATGGTGCAACTTGCCCTTTTGCAAATCATAGAAAGAGTGGCTGCTTAAAAACTTTCACAGCTGGGCTCTCGTTGACTGCTTGCTTGGGCTCAGCCTCCTTTAACTTTTCCAGGTCCTGCTCAGTGTGAGCCGGGTTATCTAAACGTCTGCTTACGAGATACTGCTGACCTTTAGGTTTGTCAAGATACCTTGGGGATGGTATACATAAGGAAAGAATCTATAAACATTCTGAGATAATGTGTTAAGTGTTTCTATGATTACAACGTTAAATGAAGTTGTCAGAATAACTGAAACGAGATCTTAATGGTGTTCTTGAATATGATATCAAGCTTTGGAGTTAGAAATGGGAGAAAGTATTGGAGTTTAGATTCAGAAATAGAGTAGGGTTGACATTTGAAGTGTCATTCTTCGTAGTGAGGCCCTAAACTTTGATTAAGGACTTGTCATTGCCCACCTGGAGTTTCAGCACCTACTCAAACCTGGACATTGGTAATTCCATCTAAATTACTTTAAAAAGAAAGGTAGATGAAAATGTCGTGCTTCCGTATTATTCTTCAGGAGACATTTTAGTTCACCTACTTGGGTCTTTTTTGCGACCCCAGTTAGATTTTTGATCAGGTCCAGCTGTCCCTTGTTAACTGCGTTACGAGTCAGGAGTGGGCGTTACCGGTGGAATGGCCATCTGCTAAATAGCTTTCTGCAAAGGAAACTGTAAATTAATTCTTTGTTTCTATGAACTGCTATCATAGTCAGAATTATGTTCCAGCGGAATCCTGGCCCGTGGTTAGGAAACCAAGCGGGCCCACAACTTTCCGTGTTCCTGAAAGCCAGGCCTCCGCCCTGGTTCACAGGAACTTCTCTTCCCTGGGCCTGGGCTCACGGGCCCCAGCTGCACAGCGGCAGGTCCCGAAGTGTAGCCCCATCCTCTCTACTAGTGTGGCACTTACAGAGTAACACAGGTGGGTCAGGCCATCTCGGCTCAGCAGTGGCTCCCTCCATCTATAGCATGGTGGGCGGGACAGCACCATATGCTGGTTGGAAGCTGCAGGTTCTGTATGGTAAGGTAATAGCTTGGTCAATATTACAGCTTCCAGTTTTTCTTCAGTGTGCCTTTCTTTATAGTCGGATAACTGTCTCTGTAGTTCTCTTGTCTCCCAGAGGTGGTTATTATTTGTGCTTTCTTTTATCCTGGTGAATTTAAGCGTATTTTCTTTTCTAGTCTGGAAGAGTGTTTTCTCTACTTAGAGTCATAGAGGGACTGAGCCGGGGTGTGCTGGTAAACCTACTCTCCAGAAGGAAAAAATCAGTATGCGCCAGTTTTCTGGGGTGTAAATACTTCCACTGTTGCCAAATTTAAGCTGCCATGGGAATCCGCGCACAGATTCCCGAATATTAGCATTGGCTCTCCTAAGTCATGCACGTTGTCTCCAGCACATCACTGGACTGAGCTTGTCACAACTGATTCAATAGGACAACAAAACCTAAGGAGAGACTTGCCCTTCAGGGGATATTCAAGTGGTGCCAAGGTCAGCAGACTCGCAGGGCAACTCGCCTGGCCCGTCCCTCTGGGCTCTGCAGTGGCGTCTGGCCGCGGGGAGATGTGTGACCACGCGCCCCGTCACTGCCTTTTCAGTTCTGGGAAGCAGTTTGTTCGCTACATAAACATGCTGATCAACGACACGACGTTTCTGCTCGACGAGAGCCTGGAGTCCCTGAAGCGCATCCACGAGGCGCAGGAGGAGATGAAGAACCGGGAGCGGTGGGAGCAGCTGCCCCGGGTGAGTGTGGGCCGGCGCCCGTGAAGCGACAGGCGAGGGGCGGGGCAGGAGGAAACTTAAGCCCTGGCTCTAACACTGCGACGTGAGTTGCGGGTTCTCTCCAAGTGTGTCCAGAAAACGTGCTCTGCCTTTTCATTTTAAAGGGCTTTTTGGAGAAGAGCTTTTATTGTCTGAATATGTTAAGATTTATGAAAGTAGCTAGGAAATAAGTCTCAAATTGGGTCTGCCAGACAAGAAATTTCGTATGATCTTTGGGCATCTGTGTGAATCACTCAAGATTCTAGTGGATTTCTTCTTTCGGTTGATCTTGGTTTTCCTTCTCAGTTTCTCATGGAGGGAGGCCTGTTGCACCAGGTTCCATGGGCGAGCGCTGCTGCCCTGCCCTGACGCTGACTGCAGCATTGCTGTGGCTCCCTGCCTGGTCAGTGGGCCCTTGGCAGCTACGCCGGCATCACTCACTGGTTGGATCTCTTCCTGGTATCGTAAGGCTCAGAGTCAACCGCTTTCCAGAAGGAGTTCTCGTGGGCAAGAGGGGAGAACTAATTTTTCTCTCCTTGCAATAGCATTCTTAAAATGGAAACTGTTGTTGAGGCTCTGTGGCATCAAAAAGCACCTTAAGTGTAAGACACTGAAGCACATTTAGAGAGGGTTTTAGGGAAAGTTTTTGTTCCATGTATGCCTGCAGCTTCGAGGACAATTTTATATCTTGGTCCAGCCAACATGCTTAAACTATAGACTCCAACCTTTTCGGGGGCTTTACCCAGGGTCCAGGAATGGCGAGTGTCTCCTGTGCCCATGGGGACTCTGTTCGAGCCCCTCCAGCACGTTGCTGGACAGCGCCACAGTCTTCTCTCCCCTTGGGACAGTAGAGACGCCTATTGGGTGCCATGCTGCCCCCACGCTCGTACACATTTCCAAACACGCCTTAAACCTTGGCTGCTGTGCCTCCAACGCCTCCCTCCCGCCGCTCCCCATCCCCACGGCTGCCCCTGGGGTGGCTGTGGCACGCCCTTCCAGGCACGCCTCCCCGGGCAGGCCGTTGGTCAACTCCAGTCCGGACAGATGAGCCGGGCACTCATTCACACAGTGTGTGCGGACGCAGATGAGGCCTCATTGTGGGACCCCAGCTTTGGAGTCGAGGGCTCCAGGGCTCCAGGCTCAAGAGCTGACACTGCCTCATATGCAAAGTTCTTTCATTTCTGTGTCCTTGTCCACAAGTCAGATCCCTCCTCTGTGGGAAAGCTGTGAGGAGAGACAGTGGAAGGCAAGTGCATAGCTCAGGACTGGCCCAGGGAAAGCGATCCGCATAGAGCGCACCCGTGTTTCTTCTGTCTTAGGCGCTCCTGTCCTCTGTATGTACTAAAACCCCACCCAGTCTTTCGGGAAGGTCTTGTCCAAACGTTCCCCGGTCAGCATAGCTGCGAAGCCTTACCTTGTCTCACCTGTGCAGCGCCCACTTACGGGGCTTTTCCTGAGCCAGCTTATGTTGTACAGTAGGTGCTGGGATACTTTGCGCATTATCTTGTTCACAGTCAGTGCTTACTAGCATTTGTTTGAAACAACTGAACAGATAGTATTGATTTTTGTCTATGTTAATGGATGGGAAGGGGGCATAAATCACCCCTAACAAATGCCATTTCAGAAATCATTTCCATTTGACTTTCCAGTCACTACCTGCCCTGCACCTCCCCGCCGCTCCCGGGCCCCGCACCCTCCGAGCTCCAGCGCTCGGCCCGCAGGCCTCTCTCCCCTCCACACCTGCTCCCTACGCCGGTGTTTCGCAGGGAGGGTGCTGGCTGGTGTTTTGAATGCAATAGAATTATGTTATTATGTAAATTTTCAATTGTGAATAACTGTCCCGTACATTGCAGGACATTTAGCATCTCTGGCTCACGCCCATTTAAAGCCAGGGATGTGCCTCCCTCCCCCGAGTCGTCAGGTAACCAAACACTCCTACATGTGGCCTGAAGCCCTTGCAGAAGATCACTGCCAGCTGAGTCCATGGGTTCCAAGGCTTTACACATCTGTATTCTGAAGACTCAGAACGTGTCTCCCCAGCTCAGGCCTCCCCCGACTCTGTAGCCAGCTCTGGGCGTGCCTCTCCGCCGGGTGGTCCGGTGGGCACCTCACACTGAACTTGTCCGGAACGGAGCCCTGCTGGTGTCCTCCGGGCCGCCTCTCCAGGTCTGCCAGGCTCCAGAAGTGACCGCCGGAGCCCACAGAGACTCTGGCTCAGCACTTTGGTGTCGTCCTTGGTTCTCCTCCCTCTTAGCAGAGCCCCTGGCCTCTATCTTAACACACAGCCCTATCTGGCCGCTTCCCCCCATGTCCAGGCCACTGCCATGTCGGGTCTGCATTACTGCCGTTGGTCCCTCTCTGGTCGCTCAGCCTGCGCCCTTGCCTATCCCCACTCCGCTCAGAGCCCCCCGGGCTCTCCTCCCCATCCATCAAGTCCCGAGCTGCAGAGTGGCCATGCGGGCACGGCGGGACCCTGCCCCCGTCCTGCCCGTCGCTCAGCACCCAGCCGCACTCCTGGCTCCTCGCTGCCAAGCTGGGCCTGTGCGCTTGCTGTTCCCTCCTCCTGGCGCCTCTTCCCCCAGGTTTTTGCTGACTCACTTCCTTCAGACATCCACTTAAATGTCACCTCCCCAGAGAGAGGCCTTTCCAGACCACCCTTTCTGGAATGGCATGTCCTGGCTCCAACGTGCTCCTCTCCCCGTACCTGGGTTGTTTTTTTATCACTGTCAGACCTACACATCTGTTTGGGTGTTTGTCTGCTCATTGCGTGCCACCCTCACTGGCGTCTCAGCCCCATGAGGGCAGGAGCAGCCTCGTGGGTCATGTTCTGTTCTCTGTCTCGAAGGGGCTAGATTATGCTCATGGGTGGACAGCGGAGACCCCCAGGCCCACGCTGAGGCACTTCCCACCTTGCTGTTCGTGTGCCTCCCCTGGCTCTGCCTTTCATTCCGTGGGCTCATTCATGATCTGGGCACAGTGGACAGGTCCCCCAACGCTGTTGCAGCATCTCCACCAAGCGGACCCCCAGAGGGCTCCCACCCAGGGGCACTCACTCAGACTTCGGTGCTTCTAGCCACTCCGCTCCCTCACCTAAAGTATAAGACTCTTTACTGGAGGTTCTGTATTTTATCAATCTCAGAGCATTAGTGTTCCACCTTACTTAACCCGTGAGTCGAACACACCTTATTACCTTGTTTCCTTGCCTGTGGCAGACCTGAAAGAGGAGGGCCATTCTGGAGACAAGCACACAGCCAGGCGAAGGGGCGATAGCCTAGCAGTGTGGAAAGGCAAAATTCAAAAGCCTAGCAACTCGCAAGCACTTGGTACAGGGGCAAAGCCTACAGGCCTTGATATCATGTCGCATGTTTTTAAAGTCATGATAACTAAGTAAAAGTTGTTATTAAGGGAAATGAACTACCCTTTGTTAGCCCCAACACAACATAAAGTTCACTTATTTCATTCTCTGTAGAAGTTGGTAGTGACTTCTTTTATCACAGAGCAAACCAAGTCTCATGTAAGTTAAATAACGTGCCATGGCCACCTTACTCAAAGTCCTGAGGAGTTCTGACGCCGAGAGGAATCAGCTTCAGTGGTCCGGGGAACTCGCTGCTGCAGGTTGTGCTGTCCTTCCCTGAGTAGGTTGGCTTTGCTGCGCACTTTTCCATTCAGGAGCTGACTGTATTTTTCCGTCACACTGGGCACGTTGGTGAGCTGATGACTCGCACTGAGATTTGTTTGGCATCTGCTCAATCCCCAGGAGCAGCAGCAGGCCCGCCAGTCCCAGCTGGCTCAGGACGAGCGCGTCTCACGCTCCTATCTCGCCCTGGCCACGGAGACCGTGGACATGTTCCATATCCTCACCAAGCAGGTCCAGAAGCCGTTCCTCCGGCCGGTGAGTGGAAACTCTGGGGTATTTGTTTGGTCTGTTGGATTCCACGTTCAGATTCTATCGCTTGTAACTAAATAGAGTTGTTGAAATCCTGGATGTTTCAGCGTCACAGTCACTGATAAGTGAAATTTTATTACTGATTTTGTTCCCAGTTAGGCCCGTTGCTACAGCACTGTTGATAGACTGAAATCTGCAAATGGTCGCTTCCAAGTTAACTTAATTCACTCTCTGCTTAGACAGCACTTTGGATTATTAATGGTGAAGCTATGACATATTTTTATCATTATTGATTTCTGTTTTTTATTTATAGGAAAAGTAAGGTAACGTCAATTGGAACGTTAAGTAGAACATTAAGTAGAAATAATTGATGATGCATAAAACCTTGTTTCTCTTAGATGTAGTTTTGTTACACTCAAGAAGCCAAAGGTCAGTGAGAGCCACAATTAGGGTCTATGATAGGTCAAAGGTTGTCAGAAAGTTTGGCCTTGACGTGATTCCTGAAACCAGGGCCCCACGTCTGAATGGAAGCAGAGCGACACCACTGAAGGCCTCTGCTTTGCTGCCGCCGAGCCTCCCGGTCCCCTGCCACACGCAGTTCAGAAGCTTTAGGGTGTGGCCAGGACAAAGGTGGCAGAGAAGGCAAAGAAGGGGACCGAGATTTGGCAGTTAATTGCCCGAATGGAGACAAGTTTACAATGGAGTGTAATTGTACCACATGCATATGTTCTCCGGTTTCCGTATTCACTCTCCCCGCCAGCATCAGGACCACACCCTGGCCTGTGTGCCACTTGAGAGCTGAGGCTCCTCCTCTCTCCCCTTCCACTGCACGTCTCTTCACAAGTTCACTTCTGTGCAAGCACAGCGGACCACGAAACTGCGCAGAGCTTGCTGGTGAAAGCACCGGGACACGTACTGTTTGAACATGATAGTCCAGACACGTGCTTCCCTCAGAGGGCTGCGCATGGAATTTCTGTAAACTCTACCCATAAAGGCCGGACAGCAACTAGGTCAGGTTTGTGGGCACACGGTCTCACCTTTGAGACCTCACAATGCAAAGAAAGGCAGGCACAGACAGCACTCGCACAGCTGTGTGTGGCTGTATTCCAATAAAACTTTATAGAGACAGGCATCCAGCAGCCAGGGCCTGCGGCTAGCTGTTTGCCAATCGCTGTTCTAACCGTGTTTGAGTTCGTGTTCCGTGACCCCAATGGTAGTGCCATTTGATTGTTAGAAGGTAGGAAACATAAAAACTGTTTAAGACTAAGTTTTTATGAAGCCCATAAGTAGCTCTAAATTTTTCATTGTTTAAAGGAAATTATTGAAAGCTAAGTCTAATCTTTTCACATTGAGGGAAGTGAACTTGCTTCCAAGGCCTGCACACAGACGGGAGAGGTCGGTGCATGGTGGCCACCGTCTCCCGCCCAGTCTTTGCTGGTGCCTGCCCTGATGTGGTCTTTGCCTGTGCCCCACAAAACGCTCCCGCTTCGCAAGGGAAACAAGTTACCAGCTGTAGCCCCTTCTTACCACTCCCTTATTCCACACATTCTTAATTAGATACGGGAGTACTTTGTGCAAAAAGCTGAGTTGAAGTTTACTTTGTATAAATCCAATAATTTAATGGAAACCCTGTACCGAAAGGGAAGGCTTCACAGCGGCGTTTTCATGGGCAGCACTCACCTCGGCGCTCTCCGAGCCAAGCCGCCCTGTTTAGAGCCTGCGTAAAGCCTGCCATCTTGCTTAAAGCCTGCATAAAGCCTGCTGTTGCATTATAGTCATGTTCTAGCTGTTTCGTTTAAGTTTGCTTTGTCTCACTGGCCAAGTTTAAAACTATTCAGAATAAATTGTACGGTGCACTGTCTGAACTATCTGGGACTTTGAAATTTATACCAAAGTAATGCGTGCAGTGACGGCTGAGAAGGCGTACTCAGAAAATTTTGTGATGTGTTATGATGGATTTATGACTAATTTTCCCTCTTTTACCTGTTTCTTGGGAATTTAGAGTGATCCTTGTTTTTATAACTAAATTTATGGAAAAGGTTGCCTTTTGTTGGTACTTATAAATATTTCATCAACCTGCAACATTAAGTATTAGAATTATTGGATTAGAAATGGGGAGTAAAAGAACTTTTGAACATAATGTTCTTCTTCAGCTTATGATACACAGCACTTACAAGAAGTTCTTTGAAGAGTAATCGCTCCAATCCCTGCTCCTCCACTGTACCGGGAGCTTTTGGTCCTCCCCACTTGTCTCAACAGCGTGAATTTTCCTGTTATCCTGTGATTTCCTAGGAACTGGGACCTCGATTGGCTGCAATGCTGAACTTTAATCTTCAGCAACTCTGTGGTCCCAAGTGCCGTGACCTGAAAGTTGAAAACCCAGAGAAGTACGGCTTTGAACCAAAGAAGCTGTTGGACCAGCTGACAGATATTTACCTGCAGCTGGATTGCGCGCGGTTCGCTAAAGCCATCGCCGACGACCAGGTCAGTGCCGGGGGAGGGGCGTGGCAGAGGCAGTCGGGGCTCTGGCCACCGCCCTGGGTGGCCGGAGCTGGCCGCTCTGTGGATTCCCGGGCAGGGCTGTGCAAGTGCATAGCTAACTGCTCCCAAGTTTTTCCCACTTGAAATCAAGCATGCTTTTCAAAATATAGTTTGGGGGATTTTCAGTACCGTAAATGGAAATCTCGCCCACCGTGGCCAGGGGAGCTGGTCTTCTGAAACTGGAGATGAAATGATGCTTCCCTTTGGGCGTAAACAACAAGGCTTGGCTCCCAGACCAGCTCCCGTTGAGCTCTGACCTCGGGATCTCGCTGAGAGGGCCCCCCCGCCCCCCGCCTTCCCAGGGAATCCACGTCCTCTCCCAAGTCCCGGCTCCGGTGCTGCCGTGGCTGTGGCGGTCCTCCAGGCTCAGGCCTCGGAGGGCTGTCTTGGCACCCCCCAGCCCCCCACTTCCCCTGCGTCCCCATGATCACAGCCCTTTGTGCGCTTGTTGCCAAGGCTGCCAGTGCCGCCCGGCCGGCCTGGCTTTTGGACGTGCCGGTGACCCACCGCAGGGCGTCCCCGCGCGCGCCGTCTTGCATCGCTCCAACGTGAAATAGCTGGTGTTCGTTCACTGAACACCAGGTTCTAACCGCTTATTGTGTTTTCACATGTTTACTCCTCACAAAATCTCGTGATATGGGTTCAGTTAGAGTCCTCATTTTAAGTGAGGCGCAGAGATGTTAAATAGCTCGCGTGGCATTAGGGTGGGGGTGCGGCGGGACTCGTGTCCCAGCCTCCGGCCCTGAGCCTGTGTTCTCAGCCTGGCTGCCCTCCACTTAAAATGCCCTGGAGTCCATGCTCCTTTCTGTCTCTCCACCTTTGCTCACACTTTCTATCCAAATACTCCATCTCAGGTTAATCATCGGTAGACATTCTAGAAGGTTCTTTACCCATACTTCATCCAAAGGTTCCAGCAGGGAAAATGTAGGTACCTCTGGACATAAGCAGCAGGTGTCATCTTGACAAAGGGCAGTGAAAAAAAAACACGTCTGAAGCAGCTTTTCCGTCAGAGGTCATGGTAAAGGACGGGGTTAGGGTTTGCAGTTATTCGGGGGAGATGCTGAAGCGTTTGTCTCGCGCACACTGTGTCAGACTGCGCCTCGGTAGCTGGAAGCGGTGCGGTGGCCTGCAACAAGGGGAAGGAGGAGGAAGTGCTCCCCGGCCAAGGCGGGGTCACCTCTTGGGCAGCAGGCAGCTGGACCTGGGCTCCAGACAGAGGTCCGGCTGTGCGGGGTCCCCAGGGGCTCGCCCAGTTTTGTTGTGAGAGCCCTGGAAGTTACCTAGCGCACCCCCTCTTCTCCTGGTCGGTCTTCCTGTGGCGGCCACTTTGCAAGTCATTAATGTAACACAGTTCACAGCATGAGTGAATACAGCACACACCCTGTAAGACAGTGACAACCAAGTGGGTGACAAAGGAGTGCTGCCAGCAGCCTTTCCTCGGTGACCAACCAGATGTCCTCACGACCTGGTGATCCCTGTGGGTGACGGCAGTGGCCTGCAGGGGCACGGGCGTGAGTCAGAGACGGCGGTTCCTGCCGTGACACACCAGCCTTCTCAGATGTCTGTGCCCCCAGCTCCTCGGAGCCCGTGAAGCAGACACGCGGTGCCAGAGACTCAGGGGAGGAGACTCACGGCGTGTGGAGTGTGTGCTCCCTGTTCAGCGCGCTGTTGGTCCTGTTGGGCACTTTCCACTGCTCTTGGCTGTAAGCTGATCAGGGCCCGGGTGACGTGATTGTTTTGGAAGAAGGTTTCAGGGGTGGAAGGCTAGAAAGCTCCAGAAAACAGGTAGTACAAGTTCATTTTCTCCTTTGGGAGCACTGGTCTTACTGCTTTGGCTTGGCCTGGCATGTCTTGTTTTCCTGGGAAAACAAAGGAAGATGAAATGGCAGCTGTTCAAGGAAAGAGGCTGAGAGACTTCTCTCCCTGTGTCCTGGGAGAGGCTGAAAGCCAGTGACCAGGAGAGGTGAGAGAAGGCGCCAGCTTTCCGCTGCCAAACCTGGGGAGAGAGCCCAGGGTAGGGAGGTCTTACGGTGACTCAGCCAGTCACGTCGGGGACCACAGGTGGCTGTGCCTCAACGGGCAGGCCCCATTCCGTGGATGGGCCGCACCCGAGGTTCCTGGGCCTGTCTGTTAACAGTGTGTGCTATTTAAAAATAAACAGTCAAGAGCCTGTCTGAATCCACATAACGTACAATTAACCACTGTAAAGTGTACAGTTTGGTGGCATTTAGAACCTTCTCATGTTGCGCAGCCATCACCTTTGTCTAGTTCCAAAACGTTCCACCGCCAGCGAGGGGAGACCCTGTGCCCGTTAAGCAGTCTCTGTCTGTTCTGCCTTCCCTGCAGCCCCAGTCTGCTTTCTGTCTTTATTTTACCCATTTTTGGGTTTACCTATTCACCTATTCACCTATTCTGGATATTCCATATAAATTGAATCATATATCATGTTGCTTTTTGTGTCTGACTTTTTTCGCTTAGCATAACATTTTTGAGGTTTATATGGTAGCATATGTATCAGTGCTTCATTCCTTTTTGCGGCTGAATCATATTTCACTGTCTGGATGGAACATTATTTGTTTATCCATGCATCACTGACGGGCGTCTTGAGTTGTTCCCATCTTTGACTATCACAAATGGGCCTCCCATGAACATTCGTGAAAAGTATTGATTTGAATACCCATTTTCAGTCCTTTTGAGTGTATACTTGGAAGGAGAATTGCTGAGTCATATGGTAATTCTGTGTTTCACTTTTTGAGGAACCATGTTCCACATTGGCTGCACCGTTTTGCATTCCCACCAGCAATGTATAAGGCAGGGTCCCCCGCCCGCAGCCGCAGACTGAACGGGCATCAGCCTGCGGCCTGCTGGGCCCCAGGCTCGCAGCGGCAGGCGAGCAGAGCTTCACCTGCATTTATAGCCGCTCCCTGTCGCTCATTGCCGCCTGAGCTGTGCCTCCTGCCAGACCAGCAGATCCAGGCGGCATTAGACTCTCACAGGAGCGGGAGCCCTGCCGTGAGCTGCGTAGTTGCGGGCTCCTCATGAGGATCCGATGCCGGAGGGTCTGAGGTGGAGCCGAGGCGGTGACGCTAGCCCCGGGGAGTGGCTTCAAGTACAGATTGTCGTTAGCAGAGGGGTTTGACTGCACAGAGACCCTAATGAACCCATTGCTTGCAGGCTCATGTCAAAACCCCATCAGTGAGTGGCAAGTGACAGTTAAGCTACATCTGGTGGCAGGCTTTATAGTGGCAAGTGGGTAGACGTACTTCTTGTACAGCTGCATCACAATTGTATTTCTGTTGTGCAGGCTTTAAGTCAGAATCCAACACATATTTTAGCCCATGCGCAGCCTACCCGTTACTTCATTTACCACTTCGTCCCCACCCCTTTCCCGCACTGCATTCTTGTCTTGGTCACAGTTTTAGTAAGCCTGCGTGCTAACCCTAGCATGCGGTGTGTTGAGTGATTATTTCATCATGTATTATAATGTAATAATAACAGAAATAAAATGCACAGTAAATGTGATGCACTTAAATCATCCCCAAACCATCCCCGCCCCTGACTCCCGCTCCCTCCCGGGCCCATGAAAAAATTGTCTTCTACGAAACCAGTCCCTGGTGCCAGAAAGGTTGGGAACTACTGGTATAAGGGTTCCAAATTCAGTTTCTGCACATCCCCAGCAATGTTTTTGTTTTGTTTTTAAATAGGTACCCTAGTAGGAGTGAGGTGGTCTGTCGCTGTGGCTTTAATTTGCATTTCCTTAATGGCAAATACTGCTGAGCATCTTCTCATGTGCTTTTTGGCCATTTGTATATCTTCTTTGAAGAAATGTCTATTCAAGTCCTTCACCAGTTTTTCAAATTGCATTGTTTGTGTTTTCTTCATATTCGTAACTGTAGATGGCAGTGCGAATCCTCAGATAGAAATGACTGGTCAGCGGTCAGGGTCTCCCGTGTCATCATTCTCCTGCATTTACATCGTTGTCACTACATTGACAAGTGGCCGGTGTTTTTGCCATAAATGCAAGTTAGGACGCACTTTGACAATTTGCAGTGGCAGTGACGTCACTCCCCCCATTTTACAGCGAGGAAGCTGGGGCTCAGCAGAACACGGGGTTCGCCTGAGACCACCAGGCACGTGGGTGGTAGAGCCGCAACTCAAGCCCCGGTTTGTCGGGCTCTGGTGGGCTTGGTCCTCTGGCCCGGCGGCTCCCGCTCTCAGAGGCGGAAGTCGTGCCCGCCCCGTCACAGGGCACCTGGCCATTAGTAGCGGTCACCTGGGAGAGCCCGAGGGCCTGGGAGAGTTTGATTATGGACTGTAGTGCATTGTTTCCGTGCTCCCTTTAGGGAGAAGAGCTAAAATTGCCACCTCCTCTCATGCTGCGAGAGCACAGGGCCTTGCGAGGGCTAAAATAGACTAGATCTCCTTCATGTTGATATTTAAACTTTTAAAAGAAATACATGTTTGCTTTAAAAAGAATTCAAACATTTTTTAATTCCCTTTATTTGCTTCAATCCTGAAGCCCTCCCCAGAGGTAATGACCTTGTGAGGCTTGGTGTTCATTATCCCAGTCTTTATGTATGTATATTCACATGTATATATATGCATATACACACTGTGATTTTAGGACTTTTTAAGAAAAAAAATAAATAGATCATACTTTTGGTATTTTCTGCAGCTTGCTTTTTTCCCACTTAAACTATATACATCTTACATTATCTTTTCTCATCCACAGAGATCCTACAGCAAGGAGCTATTCGAAGAGGTTATTTCGAAGCTGCGGAAGGCAGGGATCAAATCCACAATAGCGATCGAGAAGTTCAAACTTCTCGCCGAGAAGGTGGAGGAGATAGTGGCCAAGAACGCGCGTGCCGAGATCGACTACAGCGATGCTCCAGACGAGTTCAGAGGCAAGTGGCTGCTTTTCTCACACTGAATCCTTTGATTTGAGTTAACTGGGAAAAGTAACATTGAAAGAGGATGTTCTGCCCTGACCTGTGTGGCTCTGTTGGTTGGGTATCTTTCCACGAAGCAAAGGGCCACCAGTTGATTTCCCGCCAGGCACAGGCCTGTGTTGCGGCTTCAGTCCCTGGTTGGGGTGCCTCCGAGAGGCCGATCGATGTTTCTCTCTTACGTCAATGTTTCTCTCCCCCTCTTTCTCCTTCCCTTCCCCTCTCTCTAAAAATAAATAAAGCCTTTTTTTAAAAAAGGGGGGGAGTGTTCCGTGCTCTCAAGTTTTTAATGGTGTGCTGTGGCTTTTTTGAAACTGTCAGAAATTACACTCATCTACTTGTAGTTCATGTTGTGAATTAAAAGGAAAAAAAGTCCTTAGCCTGATTGTAAACCAGGTAACAATCCGGAAAGTTCTAAGGTCAGCCTGGCCTTCGCACGCAGGGGTCGGCGTTCACACAGAGCTCTGAGCAGCACAGCCTTTGGGGGGACCCCCCACCGCCCTGCCGTCTTGCTGCCCCTGGGCCGCCCATCCCCTCCTGCCCCTCCCCCAGCGGCGGCTGACAAAGGCTGCGCTCCCCGCCTCCCATGGCAGTGTGTGTGCCTACGCTGATTGCCCTCAGAACTTGGGGGCCGTGGGGCGCCATGTGATTGCCGTTCTATGGATTTACGTGTTTCTTCACAGACAGGAGAGGCTTGGTGTTGTTCTGGTTTTCAGTCGCAGTCCCATTACTAGACGAGCGTTTGCTTTGCTTTGTCCCTTAGACCCTCTGATGGACACCCTGATGACCGACCCGGTGCGGCTGCCCTCCGGCACCATCATGGACCGCTCCATCATCCTGCGGCACCTGCTGAACTCCCCCACCGACCCCTTCAACCGGCAGACGCTGACGGAGAGCATGCTGGAACCAGGTGCGGGGTGCGGGGGTGCGGCGGGCGGGGCGGGGCCTCCGTGGGCACCAAGCCCCGGGGGCCAAAACCAGACTGTGTCAGAGATGGAGTGAAGGGCGGGAACCTAGCAACTCCAGAAATGCTGTAGTTTATGACACTTCACGGAAGAGACACTCTCTTCGCTATAGAAGTCTAGTCCTTCTCATGTCCAGTTTGTCTTGTCCAGTCTTCATTTCACGGAGCGAACGGATGTCCTATCCATTTGTTGGTACAGGCGACAGGCATCGTCCTGAGGAAGGGCCCCCCTGCCTGAGGCATTAACCCCCTTTCTTTTCTCAGTGCCAGAACTGAAAGACCAGATTCACGCCTGGATGAGAGAGAAACAGAACAGTGATCACTAAACCGCGCCCCCCTGCTGCCTCTGCCGGAAGCAGCCAAGGCCAGCGAGGCAAGCAGGAGCTGCATCGGTGGCGCGCTCGCCCTTCGCACGTGGCAGCTGGACGCGGCGAACCCACCGAGAGCCCTCCCAGAGCGACCACACGGTGGCCACCTGAACGGACATGAATGAGAAGAGGAGCCCAATTCCTGTACATATATTTAAGTGACAAACGTGGTCAAAAGCTTGAGGGACACATTTTATGATTGATTGCCTGTGTAATGAAACACGTCCTTCCTATGTCACAATTGGGGGCTTTTGCAACGGGAGTTTTTAGTGATTGATGATGAATGGGTCTGGGCAGCACCCCCTCTTTTTTTTTTTTTCCCCTAAATCCAATATCCATTGATTTGATTGTGATTAGAGAACCTTGGACATTTTGCTGCTAAAGAATCTTTCCCCCAACCCCCTTCCCTTCCTGACCCTATTTGCACTGCTGTGGATTTTTTTATGAGAAGCAAAAACAAAAATTAATTCCTTTCCCTGGCCCTCCAAACATATATTCTGTGAGATAACTGTGCCTGCAACAAAGTGTTAATCCTGGGGTCGTATTTTTATATCATATTCACATATTTGTTTTTTTAATTGGTGTTAGATGACATGATTAATAAAAAAGGCAAGATATTTTCAGAATTTGAATTTCAGTTATTTTTTTTTCTTTTGAAACGTCCCTGTAAAAATTTTTTTTATTCTAAGCAAAACGAAGAGAATCCTGTTGCTCTGGTCCTTGTCATCAGCCCTCTCTTAGGAACCGAGGCGCAGCTGCCACCAAGGGAGGGTTTCAGTCTATCAGGAGGCACGTGACAGGGTTCGGCGGGGAGGGTGGTGGTTTTAACGCTACGTGACAGTCGAAACCTTTTACAGGTATCCTACGAGGGTATGTAAATTCCTCAACTCTTGAGTCTGTGCATTCAAGGCAGGGCTCCTGTGTGTGACGTGTCCTTGGGGGCTTGGCCTTACCAAAGCAAAAAAAGGGAGCAAGACATGCGAGGTCCGTCTGCTTGTAAAAACACACACAGGCAAACACACCCACACATGAACACAGAAACACAAGACTTTCTGTATTGCCGCTCCCTACTCCACATACTTGAAGTCTCAGATTCCCTTTGGGGTAAAAAAGGATTTGAAACCATAAAGTGTTTTGAAGAAATTAAGTCTACAAAAACATACTTTTTTTTTCTCTTCCTTTTTTCCCCCTTCCACAGACAATGTCCTCTGTTCAATTCCTAATGCAAACTACAATAAATGGTGATACACATTTAGAAGGCATCTTCTTTGAGTCTCTTCTTTTTGTGGAAAATGGGTGGGTGAGCCACAAGAGCCAGATGGGTTCACACGTGGTGAAGCATCTTCCCTGCAGCCCGTTAGCTGTTGCTGTTTTCAAGAGAAAACTTCGGATCGGTGTCCGTCCCGGTGTTCCATTTGGTTCTCATGGCGCTGCTTGTCTGAGGGGGTTGAGCGTTCTCACCTTCAGTCTCTGTCCTCTCCAGTTGCTCCCTTATCTAAAATATCTCCCCTGACCTTTAAATTTCCATGCAAGTTCAAGCCATTTCATAAGCATTTTCTCAGGCACTGCAGTTTATAAAACTATCTACCAGCTCACGGGATAACACTGGCAATCATTTATACGGCATTTACTGGGCACTATGCAATAGCCTTTTCACCGATGGCTTCATCCCCAAGAAGACAGCACTATTGTCTTTGTTCACTTGTCAGGACGCGGGGCATGGAGATTTCAGGTAACTTGCCCAAGGTCACCTGGCCAGTTTGCAGAAGCGCAGATGGCCAGGCTCAGAGCCCATGCCCTTAGCCACCGTGTTTACCTTTCTTTAGCGTGTTTGGACTCAATCACTTTTTTTCCTTTCAAAAAAATAATGGACTCCTTGTAGCAAAAATTTTAGACACTATAAACAAAGAAAATGAGAAACACCCGTAATTCCCCACGCAGATAATTCTGCCACTTTAGCTTTTATTAAACAATACTATATGCCTATCAGTTGGCTTCTGCGCCTGATCTTGTTTCTGTAATCCGTCTCATGAATGTGTGTTGTTTGTCTTCTCTCCAACGAGATTATAAATCTTCAGAGGTGCAGGTTCTGTCATAGTGCTTGCCCGCCCTGCCCACCCCCGGGAGCGAGTCGGGTGCTGCTTTATTCTCCGTGTGCACATGTCCTTTTGAAGGTTCAGAATCCACAGGCCTCACAGACCTTCTGCCAGGGACACTCTAGGGGGAAGATGTTTGGGATTTTTATTTTTAGAGTCTCAGGGTTTTATAGTAACTTGTGATTGCCCTCCGTCTGTGAATTATGGATATTAAAATAAATTCTCAATATTTTTAAAGTAGATCTTGGTGCCCTGGCTGGGTGGCTCAGTTGGTTGGGGCACCATCCTGTTTACCAAAAAGTTATGTGTTTAATCCCCGGTCAGGGCACATACCTAGGTTGCAGGTTCGATCCCCAGTTGGGGGTGTGTACAGGAGGCAACAGGTGGATGTTTTTCTTTCACATCAATGTTTCTCTCTCCCTCCCTTCCCCTCTCTTTGGGGTTAAGTGAGCATGTCCTCAAGTGAGGATTTTTTTAAAAAAATCTGAGTAGATCTTGGCCACAAGGAAGATGGGCATGTTAGAAGGAGAAGCAGAGGAGCAGAAGGGAAGGAGTCTCGGAGAGGGATGAGCAAGCTAACTTCTTACTCGTTTAGTGACTCTGTTGTGTAGGCTTAAAAAGGAGTTGATAAAAAATCTTTTGAAAAGACAGCAGAGCACATTATTTCGTTTGCATTTTGTAACTTTTGGGCTTGTTCATAAAATAGTGAATTTCACAGTGTTTTCGTTGGGTGTAAGGTGAGATAAGCAAGCCCCCGCTGACTAGGTGAACATTGGGTCGAAGGGAACATCCATACTGACCTATGAGCTTGACGCTGGTGTCAGCTAGTGCTGGGCTAAAGAAAGTCACCTTGAGTTGATAACGTGCATTTCTTCAGCACATTCTGTGTGTGAACCACTCTTGCGTAATAATTGGTTTAATCTTCCGTATGAGGGAGGTAGTGGAGGGGAACTGGCACGAGAATCTAGGCCATCTGGGCTCCACCGCTCCCGCTGTATGGCAATATTCCAGAATGATCCAAGTTCAGAATGCCCAAGGAGATATGGAGAAGCAGCATAGCCTTCTGGAAGGAACTTTGACCTTGCAGTCATTACCAGCCACTTGTTGGTCACCCCTAAATTCCTATCTCTAGCCCAGATTCCATCTTGTGCACTACAGACCCGGATGTCTCAGGTGTCTGACAGGCCCTCAGCATGGGCATATCCAAGCCAGTTCCTTATGCTGGACGCAGGGCCAGCTTCTCTTAGCCTCTCCATGGCAATGAACAGCAACTCCACCCTTCCAAGTCACTCAGGCCAAAGACTGGAGCCACCCTTGACACCCATTGTGCTCTGTTCCTGTCCGCTCTGTCCACAAATTCATCAGCTCTCCCTACGAAATGTGCCCCCAAAGGCAGCCACGTCTCCCCAGGTCCACGGCCCGCGCTGGTCTGAGTTGGCGTGGGCAGCTCCCCAGGTTGCAGCAGTAGCGTCATCACTGAGCTCCCTGTTCCTCCCCTTATCCTCCTTCCTCAAGACACTCGCTGCAAGGGTCTTGTTCAAACTTAACTACGACCACCAGGCCACTTCTGAGCTCAGCACCCTCCAACGGCTTCCTCGCCCTCTCAGAATAAAAGGAGCGCTTGCAGTTGCCCGGAAGGCAGTATGCTCCACCCCCGTTAATCTCCCTGACCTCACGTCCTACGGCTCCCCCAGCCCCAACCGCAAAGCCACTGTCTGTCCTTCAACAGGCTTGCTCCCCACCCGCTGGGGCCCTTCCACTCGCTACTCCCCCTACAAGGAATTTTCTTCCCACAGATACCCACCTGGATCACTCACTCCCTTACTTGCTTATGTCTTTACTCAAGTATCACCTTGAGTTCTTCCTTGTCCAACCTATTTAAAATTACAAAGCATTCCCCACCTTTGCTGTTCATTGCTTTTCCCTTTCTTCTTTTTCTCCTTAGCACTTATCATTATCTAACACGCTATACCTGCTATTTACTTGTCCGCGGCCTGTGCCCTCACTAGAATGTATGTCCCCTGAGAGCAGGGATTTTAGTCTGTCCTGTAGCCACAGCAGCTGGAAGAGCACCTGGCATGGAGTGAGTGCTCAGTGTGTTGAATGAATTCTCTCCATATATTTGTCGTTTCAGCTGTATCATTTATCTATTGCTATGCAACCAAATCACCCCAAAATTCTGTGACTTGATACAGTAACAGTGATTGTATCTCCCATAGTTCTGGAGGTTCCAAGAACAAGCATCCAAGAGGACCAGACAGAAGCTCTGTCGCCTTTTATAGCCTAGACTTGGAAGCCACGTAGTATCACTTCTGCCTTAGTTCACAAACCCACCTGGATTTAAGAGGAACGGTTGTAGAACCTCTTGATGAGAAGAATATTAGGAACACATTGTAAGAAGAGCATTTGAGACGGGGGATAATTGTTCTGGCCACCTTGCAGGATATGATATGCCACATCCCTCTTCTGGCAACAATTTACAGTCTTCCTATATGCAAAATACAATAATTCCTTCCCCCAAGGACTCCCCAATTCATGGCGTCAGCTTGAAGCCCAGCATCTTATCATCCAAATCAGGTTTAGGCACAGACGAGGTGCCTCTTTGAGTACATACAGTCCCTTGGAGCGCCATTCCTCTGGATCTAAAGATACAAGTAACCTACATGTGCACACTACACAATTACTGGGCAATGATGGGACAGGCACAGAAAAGCCACTGTTGGCACTCCTGTTCAGAAAGGTGGAAAAGGGAAAACACAGGAGTCACTGGTCCATAGTAATCCTGAAACCCAGCCTGTCACATGTTGCCAGTTCCTTGCTTGGGGGTCAGCCCTGCAGCCTGTGTCTTGTTCGCCACGCTCTCAGCCCTGCTCTCTGGGCTCTTGGTTTCTGCCTCTGAATCTTTTCTTCCTTTTCCATAAGAAAATTGAATTGCAGCAAGGTATTCTTCCCAACTTGATTCCTGCTGTTTCTACTTCCTCTGTCCCTTTTCATTTAAGCTGGAGGTACTTTCCTCAGAACAATTCTCTTAAAATTTTGTGGGTTTTCTATGAATATCATGGGGTTTACTCTATTAGACAAAAGCAACAATCACTAACCTCTTCAAGATAAACCCCTTTCTATTTTGGGTTTCCTCTGATACCCTTAAATCTTCCTGAGATCTTAACAAAGGGTCTTTAAAGTTACGTTCTTGGCCCAGAAGCTGTTTTTCCATGGGCAATGAAACTAAGCCAAGTGACACATTCGTTAACCTGCCTTGCGATCTCCTGACCCAGATCATCGCGTTCTCTCGGTACATTTCCTCTTTTCCCTGTTCCCAAAGGCGACAGTGTTGCCAGAGTTTCCACCGCCATCCTTCCCTCCAGCTTCCAGTGCCCGCTACGCACTTTCCTGTGGAGCTGTGCTGATGTCCTTCAGGCCTCACTGACAGTCTCCACGACGCACTCCTGCCCGCCATTCCATCCCAAAGCCAGTGCCACATGTTTCTGGTTTTGTTACAGCCGCAGCTGCTTCCAGAAAGTAAATCCTGCCGCTACAGACGTCACCCAAATTTAATGGCTTAACACAGCAGCTATTGTTTTTCATCTGTCATGCTTCTGAGGTGAACCGAGCAGTTGTCACTCAAGGACTCTGCCGTAGTTGCGATGATATGCTGGCAGAGGCTGGAGCCAATGTAAATGCTTCCTGGCTATTGGCTGGGACTTCAGCGAGGGCTGTTGCCTGGAAGACCCACATGTGTGCCCTCTGCAGCTTTTTGGCTTCCACATACAGCAGGGTGACCAGATTCTAAGAGCTCACACCCCAAAGGGGTTGGGCAGAAGTTGGTCTTTTATGACCCAACAGCTTCAGAAGCCATATGGTGTCACTTCTGCTGCAATCACAGGCCTTCTCAAGTTCAAGGGGAGGGAACATGAGCCCCATCTCGCAATGGGGGCGATGTATGTGTCATGTTTTAAGAATAGCACATGGCCCTGGCTGGTGTGGCTCAGTGGACTGAGCACCTGCCTGTGAACCAAAGGGTTGCGGATTCAATTCCCTGTCAGGGCTCATGCCTGGGTTGCGGGCCAGGACCCCATTTGGGGGCAAAAGGAGGATAGAGGTCAATGTTTCTCTCCCTCTCTTTCTCCCTCCCTTCCCCTGTCTCTGAAAATAAATAAAA